GAACAAGACTGTTTGCTGGGTTAATAGACCCTGCAGTCTGGGAGAACCAGACTGCAAGAGGAGGCTGTCTAGGAAAAGCATCTTGCTGGGGCTGGGTTTTTATTGCTACACATATAAACACACCAAACTGCAAAACTCCCCCAGGGACATGTCAGAGCCAGTTCTGAGAGGAGATAGTCTGGGAAATACAAATCAGGAAAACCTTTAGCATTGATGGATTCTACACGACAAAGAAATTATCCCCTAAAGTGCTTGGCAACCGCCAAACTGCTCGACGGAGTCCATTGGAGTGTCACCGACACAGTGACCAGACCCAGACAGGTCACGGTCTGCTCTGGAGAAGATCAGCCCCAGAGAGGCAGTGCTGTGTAGTGGTTAGGGCTCTCAAACCCATTCCCACTCGTGTTTTGGGTAAGTCACTTCCCTGCTCTGTGCATCAGTTTCCTCACCTAACGGTAGGTACGCTAATACTTTCCTACCTGAAAGGAGGGTTTGTGAGGCAGAATTAACCAAGTTCAGAGAATTGGGTGAAAGGTACTATAGAGAGTAGACCAGTGTTACTGGGTTTGCAGCATATTTGAAAATATAGATAGTCCCTCGTTACTCTGGAGGGTTTTTTTGTTTTGTTTTTTTCAGCTCTCTTCACTGCACTTTTCCAGCCCTTTAATCCACTTTACTGATACCCATAAACAAAATCCCAGCCACTTATGCAGCTGCAATTCACTGTGACTCTAATTCCTTCCCACCAAGATCTCTGCTCTGTCCTGAGTTGCACTTTGTGCTCATCACCACAAATTTAAACTGTATGGCAAGATCTTAAATTGCCTCCTGACTCTCTGCTTTTCTTTGTCTAAAAGATCCTTTATGTAGGTTAGGGACAACAAGGTCTAGTTTTAAAATCCTTATAGGAAACTTCAAAGTTCCAGGGCCCTGGATCTAGCCTAGCTGAAACGTACTACCTCCCTGATGGTTGTTCTGAGCCTACATATAATAATAATCATCAGACCGAGCTCTTACATGACTTCAAACAAAGTCCCCATCATGCAAGGGATTGAGGAAGATGATCTGCAGAAGAGCTCTGTGTAAGCGTGAAAGCTTGTCTCTCTCACCAACAGAAGTTGTTCCAATGAAAGATATTACCTCTCCCACCTTGTCTTGCTAATACTTAGGTCACCATTTTCAATCCTGGCTGCCTGAAGCCTGGTTCCTAAAACTATATTTGGGCACTTAAATATTAATGGCCTAATTTCCAAAGGCACTGAGCTTCCAGCAGCCTCTACTGACCTCAGGGAGATTACGAAGAGCTCAAGCACCTCTGATAATCAGGCCAGTTCTAGTCTATGGGATTTAGGAGCTTGGCTTTAGGCACCCAGCATTGAAAATTGTAACCTGTCTCTCTGCTGGCATTAGCTAGCAGAACTCTTCCTTCAGCATCACGAGCACAGCACATCTCTTGCCCAGATTCTAGGACCAGCGCCAGCCTCTCTGCAGGACAGCTACGCACCACGCTGATGGGTACCTAGCTAGCTAGAGAATGCAGTCACACATGTAACAAGGCCCCCTTCATTAGGCAATTCCCCATCTTGAGGCCCCGCAAGAGTACCCCCATGGTTTCCAATGCAATCTTGTTAGAGACCAACCTTTGTTATTAATTTATATTGAGAGTGACGTAGATCCCAGAGGTCCAGGCAGGAGCAGGGCCCCATAGTTCTAGGTGCTGTACATACACATATGAAGGCCCAGTCCTTGCTCCAAAGAGCTTACACTCTGAGAAGGTGATTGAGACACAAAAAGTAAAAAAGAGACACACACACAAAGAGCTTCAAACAGACATGATTTTACAGCCCAGTGCCTCTATTTACATTGTGTGTCTCACGGGGAGACCTACACTGCCTCTCAATCTAGCACTGCTAGGTGGCTGATTTCTTACAGGCATCATGGCAGAGGTGTGTAATGATGGGAGACTGGAAACAGTACAGGGCAGGGTCCTTATGGATCCATTCAGGGGGGATGTTCCACGCACAAGGGCTCTTGGATAGACTTCCACTGTGGTTTAGCACGGGACTTGCATTGCCTCTACTTAAGAAGTACGGTGCACATATGCATAGAAAAACCCATTGCCCCCAGCTGCCCTTTCCATGGCACATGGTCTTTTGGTTGGGAGCTGGAGTCCTTGCTCTGGGCTAGGAGGGAAATATAAGCCCTTGTGCAGCATACATTAAAGTCTTTGCTGCTTAGACTCACTCCACGGGCAGAATGTGGGCCCCACCATAAGCACCGAGTCCTATTCGCCACCCCCCACGGGCTTATTAGTTAACTAGCAGAGGTGCGGGTGCGTGGCGGAAGCTGCTGGCGCCTGGAGATTCAGGAGACCGCTCACCTGGCACCTTTCAGAGACAGTTAGGGGAAGGGACGGAGTGAATGAAGGGCTGAAATCGCTGGAGAGATTCTGTTGGGCACAGCATGGGTATTGGAGCAGAGCAAAGTCCCCCCCCACACACCACTTCTCCCACACTCTAAAGAGACCTCCTCAAGGGGAAGACTGAGGTGGCACGATTGGCTGGGGATTAAAACTACCGCTAAAGACCAGGAGTGGGTAGTCAGGCAACTGAGCCAGAACCCCTCCTCCTCTGCCAAGGGTTCAGGTGGAGAGCCCTGTAAGGCGATGCGGAGGGGAGAGAGGGATTCGGCAAAGCTTGGAATGGCAAACACCCTGCAGACTGTCTAGCCCCAGGCTGCCCTTGGGGCAAACAGCTACCCCAGCAAATCAAGGGCTGATGTCAAAAACAGCCACCCTGGATTCGATTCCAAGTAACAATTCAGCCCAGATGTTGGATCATATTAAAGAAGTTCAGTATTAAAATCACAAATGAGTTTGATTCGCCCTAGTTTAAATTCCAGGGTATTACTAATTAAGAGGTCTCTTGGTTTTTGGTACTGTTTCTCTCCCTCTATGTGTGAAACTTGCAAGCTGCTAATTGCGTTAGTACATTCTAAGACCGAGTCTGTTCTCAAAGCAATTCACACAGAGAGAGACTCAAAGCAATACTCTGTAACAACAGAAACAGCACCCAGAGACTCCCCACCCTTTTGTTGTATTCATCTCGCTTTGTTAACAATTGTGATTAAAATAGAGATAGAGGATATATGTGGATGGATGCTTGGTGTGGATAATAACTGAATGATCAGGGAGGTGCCAGCCTAAGAATCCAGTGTCCATCGGCTGAAGAAGGCGTCAAGTGGAAATAACCAGAGGACCCCCCCACCCCCCGGAGGGCAGACTGGAATCCACCCAACAGCCTCAAGAATGGGAGAACCAAAGAACAAGATAAAATCTAGCAGCACGAAGCCATCAGGAATGTGCCATCCGCTGATTGATTCAGCAACAGCATGATGAAGCAATTCCCATAGACTGGCATAGGAAGAAATTCCTATAAAAGTGGACTCTAGAAAGTGAGAACTTTGGGGTCTGATTCCGTAAACCAACTTCCAGGAGCATCAGATGAGCATCTGACAAGGCCCTGCTCCCTCCTCATGTCCAGGCCACCTGGCCAGTGGCTTGGCATGAGCAACTCTAAGGCTGGTAACTATGATAACAACCTTGCAGAACCTGTGTGTGTGTGTGTTTGTAGGAATGAATGTGTGAATAAATATGAGATTGAATGGAATGTTAGAGCTATAACTAACTGCTTACTATGATTCTTTCTGTATTCACAATAAATGTGGTATTTTGCCTTTTCCTCTTTAATAAGATCCTGCTGGTTTTTATTTTATTGGTATAACACAGACACGGAAGCAGGTTAATATCTCCGAAAATATCTCCCCTTCCTCACCCGAGACTCTTCGCACGCATTATAAACAGCAGCTAAAGCTCACAACACCCCAGGAGGGAAAGAAGTGTTATCACCACCATTACCAAAAGGGGGAGATTGAGGCAGAGAGATCCCATTACTTGACTAAGGTCCCCTTGGGAGCCAGAGGCAGCTGGCCGGAGAGCCCAGTCCTACAGAATCCCCCGTGCCTTATCCTAATGACACCTGACTCTTCCTTAAATGCGACAGTAACATCGCCAGAATCACTTGCTAATGTATTCTAGTGGTAAACGTGAAAGGACATTCAAAATCCAACAGTGTCTTGTCCTTCCATTTACAGAGTCCAGTTACAAGACACGGGTCTGAAATACAAAATTGCCCTGGCACCCTACACACCTCTCCCACCCGGGCTGCAGTCTTTGCTCAAAAAAGTAGGCTGGATCTTTTCGAAAAAAAAGTGTCTGAAGAATTTTTTCTCCTCCCGCACACTTGACTACCCCTCTCCGGCTCCCTTCCTGGCACCATTCTTCAATGAAATCCCAGGCCTCCGGAAGTAGGAGCTGGAAGCACTGTTATCACACTGACAGGAGTGTTAAACGGTTTTGGGTCTGCAAGGAATGGGACAGATTCTCAGCTGGTGCAGGAATTAATGGAGCTCAGTCAAGCTATATAGATCTGGCCCCAAAGATTTACACCAGCTGAGGATCTGGCCCCACGTGTCTAGGTCATTGGCTTTAATGGTAGCTCTGGAGCCAATTCTCCTCCATCCTTTCTCAGTGCCTCCCTCATATATCGGGACATCACCACGATGCCCATGCGAGGCTTGCTGGCCAGTTGTCCAACACTTGCCTCACTGTTTCCATCGTTAAGGAACAAGAATCCAGAGGCACTGCTGAGAGATAAAGGGGGATGTTTTTCGGTGCTTCTCTCACACCTTTGAAGTGTGAAACCTCTTGAGACAAATCAACAGGAATGCGGCCCTTGCAGCCACAGTCCTCGTGCTGTCATTCCCGCTGGAGATGATGAGCCTTCGCCACCCCAGAGACGGCCAGGAAGGGGATAGATAACTTTAAAAGGGAATCTTCTGCCAGCTCCAGTCTCAGATCCTTTATCGCGGGCAAGTGACAGAATGCGGCGGGCTTCATTCCTTGGGCGTTACTCCTTCTGACTCTGCGCGTATAAAAAGGGAGGGGTCAAGATCACAGCCCATAAGTGAGAGGGGGCAAACCCTCTGAAGGCAAGAGAAGAACTTGGACTACAGCATGGGCTCGTTGACTGCTGCTGCCCTCCGGTTCCTGCTGCTGCTCCTCACCATGAAGCCCCAAGGAAGAGCCAAAGCTCATCCCATGTACAGCTCGGCCTCCGCTGCTGAACTGGCTGACTTCAAGGTAAGGCAGCAGACATCACTGGCAGAACACAATGCAACCAAGGGCTGGGGGAGCAGGGAAGGTGTGCACTGCTTTGCCATTCACTCCATCCCCTAGGGTGATTCTAGGGTAATGCTATCTCCCCCGCTGCCTCTCTCTGCATTTCAGACCCTGCTGGACCGCCTGGAGGACAAGCTCCCATCAGAAGAAGCAGAGGCAGGTCTGTCCCAAGAAATGAATGAGCAGAATGAGGAAGCTCCAGGAGATGCCTCACGTCCCCTCGCTCCCTGGAACAGCGAATACATTAGACCCCAAAGAGAAGGCCTTGCCTATGGGCGCAACAGCTGGGAGCGGCCCAAGAAACCTCCATCCGCCCAGAGGAGCAAACTACGAGCATTGATGAACTCGCCACGCAGCATGAGAAGGTTCTCGGATTGCTTTGGCCAACGGATAGATAGAATAGGAGCCCAGAGCGGACTTGGATGCAACAACTACAGGGTAAGAGGGAGAGGGAATGTCTGACCTACTCAAGCACAGCTGGGGCACTGGATACAAACTAGAGTAAGGACGAAGCAATCTATGCTCTGGGCAGAGTTCCTGGGAAGTCACAGGTGGACTGACTGGTCTAGGTTAAAAGCTGGACGATGGATTTTGAGGGGTCTCCTACCCCAACTCTCTTGTTCTTGTGCTGCAGTGTCCAGGTGGATAATTTAGAAAAAACAGTGGGACTTAAAATGGGTTGGGAGCTCCAGCTCCAGTGCATTGGGTGACACTCTCTCTTAACATGTCTTTTCTGAACTTTTAGGAAATTTTCATTTTTAGAAACAATAATGAAGACTGCGTCCTTTTCTGGCTGAGTCCCGAAAAGTCAGTTCCCTAATTTAACATAAAGGGCTGCAGTGAGAACACATAACCCTGGTGGAATGGTGCACTCAGACACCAGCCATAAGACCCACCCTAGATAGAATCCTTTCAAGAGCGATGCATTTGATTCCAGAGCAATGGAATTTTCCACAGTGAAGACCATAAAAATCAGAGCCCATCTCTTAGGGGTCAGTGCAGCATTGTTCCCCTTCAACATCTAGCATTCTGCTCAGTCTAGTTTTTACAATCCAACCTGAGGGGGTTTCTACCTCTTCTTCCCACGGGAGATTGGTCTGCTATTTAAAAGGTATCATTGCCAGTCAGTTTCCCTCACTATTCAGACTCAAATGCGGCCTTTTCTTAATTTCAGAACATTGTTCACAGGGCATGTCCTTAATGCAAAATTTTACTGGGTTAGAAAGTAAAGGATCGAAGGATCAACCAGCATGAGGCTGACAACTTTGCAGTCAGCATAGACCAGGGCAAGTCCTGTACAGCATCATGTTCCTTAGTCCTGGTTACATCCCAGTCCCAGTGGGGAGTAACCTTAAATAGCCAGCATGGCACCAAATTCAACTATCCTCATCTAAACTGACTGCACAGTCATCACGGTAGCTAATTCGCCTCTTCAGGGTCCTGGTCTCACCTGATAACACTTTTTAATGATGAAAAAGCCCGTGGTTAGCCCCCTGTGAAACACACTGAACAATTCCAGTGCCTCATTGCTCTTTATGTGATGCAAGGATTTAAACATTTATGGCTTAACCGCCACATCTTACTCCTGTCTTAGCCAAGCGCCATCTGTTCAGCTCATGTAGCCATGCTCTGGCATTGTTCAGGATCACGTGCAGCAGACAGTCTGATGTGTTACCTTCCCACCACTTTAAGATCCCAGCTAGTCACAAACCATGGGAAGGCTCCTCTCAAAGCTTAAAAGGAAACAGCTTCCATCCTCTCTTGTGATGAGTTCAGGACAGAGGGGCCCAAATATTTAACACCGCAGAAGCCCAGCTGGAGGATAGAGGAAAAGGGATCTGGAGGGGAAAAAAATAAGAAAAAAGGGATGCTGGTGGACTTCTCAAGGGGAAGGGGCTGCTGATGCACCAGTAGCTGGTTAAGTTGCTCCTGTCCTTATCCACCCTTTAAAACCATGCCTCGCATTTGTTCTGATTCACCTGATTTTAAGAACAAGGATTGTTGAGTGGTGGGACTCAGGAGATCGAGGATCAAATCCTGGCTCTGCCACAGATTTCCTGTGTGACCTTGGGCAAGTTTCTTCATTTCTTTGTAACCCAACTCCCCTTCTGTTAAAAGGGGATAATAATTCTCCCACTCTCCAGCTGCCTTGTCTGTCATCTCTTGTGTTCGTGTATAGTACCTAGCGCACCAAGATCCCGCTCTCCATACCTTTAGGAGCTATTGTGATGGCCACTGTTTTAAGCAACACACCGGTGACTGAACCAGGGACTCAGAGCTAAAAGCATAAGCTCTGTACCTGTAACAAGCTCACCAGCAGGTTATGCTCTGATAGTACAAACAACCCTCCTCCAAAGAATAAAGAAATTTACCACCCCTACATTTACTTGTCCTTTTCTCCTTCAGTTTTGAAGCTCTACCTGGAGATGGGGGCAATCCTGATCTTCTTCCTCAGAGTCCTGGACATCAAAGCTCTTCCAAAGTCAACTGCATCTTCTCAGCTCCTCGCTGGTAACTTATGTTGCAGCAGGGACAGTAGGCAAAACTCAGCTGCCATCTGTCTTCATCCGTTTGCAAACAATTTGCCCCCCCCCCCTCCCAGCACCATGAGTCAAACAATGTACAGGCTTTCTCCCTAAAGTGTAAGGGAGAAGGGATAATTTTAGTCCATTGTCACTGAAAAGAATTCCAGCCTAGATTTCAGCACCTTGGACAGAAAGTGCAGGTCTGTTTCTTTCATCAAATAAATGAGTGCAATAAAAGGCTATGGTTAATTTTTCCATACCCTGCATGACCTGTCTGTGTGTGTAAAAATGTAGCTCATATGTAGTTAAGAGGACCACAGCAAAACCTCACTGGCCTGCACTAATGCACCTGGTAAATATAAGCAATTTAAGGGTATTGGGGGTCTCCTAACAAGTGCTCTGATTTAATGGGCCTATAAACCCCATTTAAGTCTGAGTACAGGCACTGGGCTGCTTTAAGTGTAACCGTATTATAGCTGCTGTATTAACTCAACTGTGCTTAGTATAAAACCAAAGACCAAGAGCTATCTATAACCAGCTTACTCCTTTCTTCTCCAAGCAAGACACTTGCTGTTTCAGTCCTATGACAAAATACACCTCCACATACATACAGTCCTGATGTTACATACATACATACATACACACACACGAGTCCATACATACACCTCGGCACAGTCCCTAAGCTGACAAGGCTGTAGCCAAGTGTCTGGCATCTGTTTCACACCTGCTGAGGATGTTTTTAAACTGCAGATGCACTGAGCTGTCAAGTGATGTCCCATCGCACAGGGCTGCCTCGCTCCCTTTTAAGAGAAGTAGATCCTGTTTCCTCATTTTTTACATTACATCTGAGAGAGAAATTGAAAAAGAGGCTTTCCCCATTCCTGCCTCCATCCCCACGCCAGTGCATTTGGGAAAAGGAAGAGGAATAAGTGTAGATTGAGTAAAGGAGTTTTCCTCCCAGCCAGCACGTCTTCCCCGTCTCCAGAAGCGCAAGAGACTAGGACCAGATTTTGCCTACAGCCACTACATCAAATTTTGAATTTCCCCGCTCCCTGAGGGTTGTGGGGGGGGGGGAGGTAGGGGGGTAGGTGTGTCCCTGTCAGTCCCTCAGGCCCAACCACTGCAGATACTCCCTGCCAAAGGATGCTTGGTGCCAATTTCCAGCCAGCCTACCCGGGAGAGGCGCTCGGTCTTGGCTGCACGGAAGCGTAGGCTGGTGACTCAGCAGGAGGCAGAGGGCAGCATCTGCACACAGTCGAAGGCTAAAATAAATCCTCGCACAGCAATCGTGTCACGCAGGATGCAGAGAACGAAGAGGCTGTTACTACCGTTGTCATGCTACAGTTCACATGCCAAGGGGGGGGGGAGGGGGCTGCACTTGCTACTGCCCCCTCCACAAATGACATTTTAGGACCTGCCTTACGGCAGCTACTGCTGGGGCTAGGGCTAAACGGTTTTGTTTCAGCTTGTTTTTGATTGGACAGAGAGGGTAGCACAGCTACTTGAGATACAGTAAAGCCAGCCCCAGCCTCCCTACAAGCCCTAAGCATGAAGTTAGGGCACCAGCAACACCCAAACCTCCCTTCGCTGGATACTTACTGCCGTACAAATCCTTTTATAAGCTTACTGGGGTGGGGGAGGGAGGCCACCTAAGAAAGCAGAATATCATCTCCACTGCAGTAGGGACCATCTATAAACCATGGGGGACCAAGCCTGTTGCCATCCAAGTCAATGACAAAGCTCTCCCCGAAGTCACCGAGTATGGAATTGGGTCTCTGAGTGGAGGTATGGCCCTGCTGAAATTAATATATTTGGCATAAATTTAGCAAGGATTTCAAAAGGGGATCAGGCACTGGAATAGGTAGTTAAAACCTCCAGAATTACCCAAACCAAATTCTGATCTCTGGGGCAGAGGGGTGAGGAGGAAAAGGTTGCCTGGGGGCAGGTGCCCTCCTTTCTTATAAGCAGCTGGAACTGGCCACTATCAGAGATGGACCCAGACTGACCATTTATCTGAAACAGAAGGGGTGGTGGCTAGTTGTAGTATGCCTTCCAATACAAACAGCCAAGGGTCCTGGCCTAGAACCCTTATAGCAAACAGTGTTCATAGCTCCCTACCTTGAAAACATGGGTGCTTGGATCTAAGGCTGTTGGACCATTTTTATTATTGGGATGAAAAAAGTCAAAAACAAAATTTAAACAAACCATACAACGGGGAGGAAGAAAATCCCAGAGCCCAGCAGGTGCAGAAGGACACACAATGACATTTTACTCTCAGACATGTTATGGTTACAGGATGACATCCCAAGTGCCAAAGTTCAAATAAAAAATATATTCATACAAATTTAACAAAAATACAGTTTATATACACCGTGGAATTAGCTTACATCATCTTGTAACAAAAAACAGTGCAAAAAACAAAACAAAAACAAAATAAGTGGCTGCCCTGGCATGGCTCATAGTACAGAGGAGTTAAGACTTGCTACCCGGCGTTAACACTGCACAGGAACCCAGGAAGCAGGAGTCAGCCCCCTCTACTGTCCTGAGCTTTTGACATCAATACTGATCCACTACGTGGACGCTCTCCCTTAGTGTTACTCTGATAAGAATTACAGGCACCTGTATAGTTTCTTTGTCAGCTGTTTAGCAATCGGTGCCAGACCAGAAGCAGTTAAGGTTTGCGAGAAGGGAGTTCAGTGGTCGGCTGTCTGAGCAGTCTTGGCTGAGAAGAGGATCCGGGATCCTTTGCACCCCTCGTAAGTGGCACACGCGAGAGCCCCGGCTGTGTTGCATCTCAGAACCCCACTCAGAGAAGAGCATCCATGACCCCCTTCGTTTCTGAAAGAGGAACTTGCCCTGCTCTGGGCCACATACAATACTGTTGAGCACACCTGGTGAGCACATTTGTGGATTTCCCTTTAAAGCGGCTGGCAGAGTGCCACAGGGCCAGTTATGTTCTCCTGGCTGCAGCAGTGAAAGGAACTGCTTTCCTCCAGCTCTAGGTTTTTAGTAAGATGGATGCTTAGGCAGAGCAGGTGCAGCTGAGCACAGAGTGGAGTCCGGCAGCCTTTGCAAGGTAAGGCATGGCTAGTGCCCAGACATACCTGAGCAAGATGTTTCAGCTCGGCTTGCCTGGGGCTCCCAGCTCCATGACTCATTAATGAGGCCAAGATATGGTGTGGCAAAATATACTGCCATGACTTCTGTACTGAATAAACAGGACATGACGGGCAAAGGCGACCGACACAGAGTTAACAAGCCCTATTTTAGTGGGTGGGGGGAGGTAAGTGAACTCTCACATAGCAACTGAGTAGAGCGGGAGGGACCGGATCTCTCACTGGGCTTATGAAGAGATAGAGGGAGTACAGGGCTGCTGCATCTTGTGGTTTGTGCCTTAAATGCCCGAACTCTAAAGGTAACCCTAATGAAGTGTGATTGTTTTACTGCATGTTGGGACTGTCCAGGTGCCAGAACCCTTTGGAACGGAAGCTAGTGCAACAAGTATATTTCAAACTTCCAGTTCATCTTGGGGGAGAATGGGGGAGGGGATATGTCCTGGAGTTTCTTGGACCAGTTCAGTCTCTTTCCAGCTATGGAAACCAGTGCTCCTCCTGCCCCAAAGCATAGGGAAAGCACGTTACTGACAAGCCCGCTCTAGATATAGGTGAAACAGGCTGAAGACCCTTAGTCCACTTATGTAGAACAAGGCACCCCCTAAAAGTCAAAAGCAGAAGCCAAAGTCAACCCACTTGACAGTCATTTAGACTCTATTAACCAAAGATCTCCCTGAAGAACTGCATGGACAGCTGGGACTGAGCCATCTTTCAGATGGGCTCAGAGAAGTACGAGGGTGCCACTCCCACCACAGCTATGGAACCCAAATGGAAGGAGTACAAGATAGGTGCTGGCCCTGGGAAGATGCCTTTACTTCACTCTGGGGAGCTGAAGGATCAACACCCACCATTCGGGCTACCCTGGAAGGTTCTCCTGAGCACACATGCTATTTGGAATGGTGGAGGAGACTGAACAACTGACGCAAACTGGGGGGGAAGGTGTGAGGAACCTGTTCCATGCATGCTGGTCACACAGGACCCCACCTGGGGCTGGAATGCAGAACTTGGATGGTACTTGCTATAACCAGATGGACCCAGGAGGGTGAAAGTCACTTGCTGAAGGGAAGTTTTGCACTACATGTAGCAAGGCTCCTCCCTCTCCACTTAGCAGGATATGCAAGGAGGGCCAAGACCTCTGCTCCAGAATCAGGAAGGAGCAGGGCTTCACAGGAAGTCTGCTGCCAGTCTCGTAAGAGGGGGGGAAAGATGAGACCCAGGGAAGGGTTTGCAAAATTTCATTGGAAGTGACTAAAGAAAATCTCCAAAGTGAATAAACCAATATGCAGCTGAGCCCTGCCCTATACGCAGGGGGGGCCTTTCTCCACTATATATGTCAGAATGGAGTCAGGGGACCTTCTTTCGTCCTTTGCTGGTTACAGGCTGTAATGTAGATACGACAGAATTATCTCCTATCTACAACACAAACTCCTATGATCTGGTTCTTTGTATGGTGTAGATACCCCCAGAGACCGGATCTCCCTGTACCAACTCAGCCACCCGCAACCTGGTCTGCAGGGGAAAGCTTCACCAATTACCAAAAGAGACTTGCTTAATGAAGGGTACAGTGTGTGGCACTTGTGTTCTGTGCACGCTACCCGTTACCTTAGAGAAGTCAGAGCACAGCAACCTCAGCCACAGCCCAGCACGGGAACACACAGCTTCCCCGGACAAACTCAGCTTGCAGATCACGGACTCTGCAATGGACATGTGAAAACACAGGTTTTGCAATCCCTCTATGCTTGGAAGGAAGAGCCCTCAAGATGGCTCAGTTTTAAAATAAAACAGACTCCTAAAACAGCAGCTCCTTTGACGGCTAGCTAAAGCCCGGTATGGCGTGGAACAGGTTAACCGAAGGGCTGGTGAGAGGGCTGTGGGGAACCTTTCCTGGGATGCATTCCACAGGTTAGCTGGGCCAGTCTCAGAGGAAGCAAGAATGCTCTGTGCTTTATCAAGCCAATCAGTTCTGTAGCCCCTGAAGGCATGAAGCTGGCTTCCCACAGTTATCTGAATGCAAAACCCACAAGGGCAGGAGCCTGCTGGAATGACACAGGTGCTGCCAGGATGGTACCTGCCAGAGCACCAGACTGGCTGTGACTGGCTCCTAAATGCTGACTTTTCCCTGCAGGTGATTCTGCGGTTGCAAGAAACATCCCAAGTGCTCTTAGAGCTGCCAAAAGCCCTTCCACTAACTGCTCTGCGGAGCGCTGGCTGGCAGTCTCAACCTCCCAGAGCCCCTTCTGGCTGGCCGCAGCATGAATTGCACCTTCTCTTTCCGTGAAGCCGACAGAAGCCAACCCTGCCGCTGTCGCTGCTGAATTGGAGCTGGAGGAGTAACGCTCATGCTCTTCCCCGTAGTGAGCTTGGGGCTTGCCGGGCCGAGAAAAGAGATTTCCTCCATCTCCACAGCCCTGACTGTAAAGATGCCCCTGGAATCCTTAACCCCCGAGTGAAACCAGGCTCTTATCACTGGATCTCTGTGGGAGGGCACTACATAATGCTCCAAAGAGGCGCAACATAGCATTACAAGGAAGGGACAAGAGTGCCTTATAAAAGACTTCTCTTCTAAGGGGAATCATTGGCAACAGCTGATGAGGTTGACGGGATTTCTCTCTTCCGAGTTGTTTTGTGGGGGCATTAAGGGTTTCTAATCCAGAACAGTAATTAGAACCAAGCTGTTTTGGATTCTTGACTTGCCCAGATGCTCTCAGCAGCCAGCTGCTGTCAGACTAATCCATAGCAGGGATTCCAGCACCGAAGGACATTAAGAAATTAGGAGCTTTAAGAACTGAACTGAAAAACCATGAAGCCAGAGTGAAAAACCTGGGCAATTAAGAGTTCCTGATGGCAGAAAAATTCCCCACGCCCCCCAAGGAGGTGTAGTTTTAATGCCACTGAGAATAACCAGCAATTTAGTGTTTGAGGATATTAGCAAATTGCAGGGGGTGATCTCAGCTTTGACAACGACCCCTTCTCGTGCGAGTAAGGCAACTACTTTAGCAGAACTGGGAAGGGAAAAGAAATCAACAAGAGAAGGGAGGGGAAATTTGCTGCACTCCTCCACGTGGGACATGGCGTAGCTGGCGATATTGTTACCCTCCAAACTGCAGGCATTTCTATAGGAAGAGCAGCCTCGGGGCAACTTCTGATGAAAGGAGACGGCAGGAGAGAAGACAGCATTCTGGCCAAGAGCAGTCAAAGCAGCACCTCTCTGGGGCTGGCCAGAGGCTCTGGACTCAGATAGCTCCTCTACTCTCTGCCAGCGAGATGTTCTCTGGTCCCCAGACTGCGTGGGAGAGAAGCCATCCATCATGTCCTTGGTCATGGGGCATCCAAGCAGAAAGCGAGGGCATGTGCAGGCTTGGAGGAAGAAGGAAGCCATACCGACAGCAGGCTCAGATGGTTTGGTAGTGCTGTCTCAGTCTTGCCTGCAGAAATTCATGAGTCAGGTTGTGTCGAGTTATTATTCCAACAATCTGGTGAGGGGAAAGAGGAAACCATACAAGTCAGTCTCACCGACTCACATTAGGAGACACGGGCTTGGTGGAGGAGAGGAGGCAGTAGTGTTTCTTCTGGCTGACCTGAAAAAACCAGGTGAGAAGGCTTGGGCAATTCTCCGAGAGGCTTGGTCTAGACACAGGGCTGGGAGCGGGTTCAAGTTCTAATCCCTGCTCTGACAGGATTCTCTTTCTTAGGGCTTGTCTACACACACAAGTCACGCCAAAGTAACTATACTGGTATAATGGTAGCACAACCATACCATGGATACAGTAATAGCAGTATGAAGGTACTTCATAACCATGTGGAAAGGGGAATAAGCTGTACTGGTATAAGGCACTTTTATATCCATGGGGCTGTTCCTACATCTGTAGGAAAAATCAGACTGCTAACCAAAATAGTTACATTGGTACAAAATCTGCATCTAGTCGAGACCACAGACAAGTCACCAACCTCAGACTTCCTCCATTTGAAACTGGTTTAATACTGCCCATATGAGGTGGTGTTGCTTCGTGCGCTATATAATGATGTGCATCGAGTTGGGCACCTCTGTGGCCGGAATGTCGGAGGTGCTGAGTGTATCACTGGGAGCAGCAGGCGCTCAGCACCGTGGGAAAGAAAGGATGCTTAAAGTGAAGCAGCTAAAAGGAACGCTTTGGGCCAATGTGTTAATGATCTCCAGTCTCCGCGGAAAAGAGTGAAACCGTCTCTAGATCAGTTTCTTTCAACTCACCTTCCATAGGGTCCAAGTAGCCAGGTTTCTAGTCACCCCCTCTACAATATCATGCATAATCTGCTTCATCTATTTTCAGCCGTTTCTAGATTGTGCTAGTTACATCTCAGAGTATCATGTCAGAAAGAAACTCCTCAGTGCCATATGTTAGCTTGCTTTTGGACACCCACTCTTCCGAAACTGCCTATCTGGTCATGGCCCAGCTGTACGTGACCGGGTCCTCAACACCCTCCTTCCTCACCCCCGGGAACAGCTCCATGCTCAGAATAGGAAATCTGAGGGAGGGAGGGAGGAACACAGCCAGGGAATACTTCAGACTACAGCTTCAAAGGCAGCTAAAGCCAGGATCTCTCCACACTTCTACCCAGCTTAACTTTTACTGTAAGGGCCAATACAAGGGCTGACTCAGGCCCGGAGATGTGCTGGACTCTCCTCATGAGCCAGCAGCATTCGGCACTTCTGAATCAAGACATTTTAGCTAATTTTGTTAATTGCCTTTTTAGCCTCAGAGTCCATCTGCTGGCTCCTCTGGACAGCAGAACCCTTGTATGGGTGTACTAGAAAGACATGCCCATGAATCCAGTGGTGGGACGTCACATGGGAGACTTATGGTAGCAGCAATGCATTCTAGGCAACCCAGGAGAGCTAGCGGACTATGACTAAACAAGGTAAAGTGCTGGCTGCTTCCTGGTCTCAGAGAGAAGCCACCACCGCCCTCTCCTACAGCGCTGCTCAGGGAAGATTTAAATCTCGTGAAGTGCGGTCAGTGGCAGAAACACCAGGTGGTGTTCAGCAGAATGGGAATGCATTTAAAGATTAGCGCTAGGATCCTTTCATATACTCTGTAGGGTCACAGTAGAAAATGCATAACCGCTCAATAGCCCTTGCTTGCAACGCTTGCTTTTCACTAGCAGGCTCAGTGGGGCAAACATCATAAATCCTGACATTCGGAGAAAGCTTCTGCAGCCTCATCCTTGCCTACCACATCAGTTATGTCCCTGAAATACACCTGAGCTAATTCTAGGCATTAGATAAGAGGATGACATGTATAATCTCTGGGGCAACTTGGCTTCATGTCACATGATAAATCCTGTCAAGAGACCCACCACTGCAACAGCTCACCCAATACATGAGCAAGACCCTCTCCCGCACATATTCTGCGGTTAGTCCTGGTATGCTTTCCGGATTTTCTTATCTGGCTCCAGCACTAGTGAGGGGATGCTGACTCTTTACTATGTTTATGGGAAGCTGAGGACACCTGCTGGGCACTTTGGGGCACTGCAAAATGCCACAACAGTTCTGGATAATTGGATTCGTTCTATACTTGACTGTCTCAGCTCTTACGAAGACAATGTAAATTTCTGTTTAATAGACGGATGTGCCCAACCTGGACAGATCGCTCCCAGGGGCTTTCAGTCTTCTTTGGCTGCAGAAGCTGCCAAAACAGGGGGCAATTAGTGCCATTTGTGGTGGGTTTTGTCAAGTGGACCCTGGCCCACTGGAAAGTGGACTAAGACCCCTGAACAGGCATCAGACAGCATCAGCTTCCAGTCATGGCCAACCCGCGCTGGATCCAGACTCGGGACAGGTGAAGGTTTCAACTTTATTACCAGAGAGAGAGGTTTCTCCAACCCCTGAAAGTCACATTCTGCTCGCTGTCAGAATGGGTTTGTTCAACATCAATCTGGGACTGAAATGGAGCATGGGGCATGCCCCATAATGCCCCACCCAGCCAGGACATGGCGCCAGTATGGACTCACCTCTCCCACTGCATTCACCACTGGTAAGTGCCTGAGCCCCATTGTCCTAAACAGGTTGAAGACTTGCGAGGCATGGGTGTTAGGGGACACCGTGAAGGGAGATGGGTTCATGTAAGGGGTGACGTCCTGGGGAGAGTCAAGAAGAAAACACCAAGGTCATTTCTACCAGGTAGTTTCCAAGTGAATGTCCATTCTCCTGGAAGCGAGGGGATGATAGGGGTGCTTTAGCCCTGTAGACTCCATGAGTCTTGGGCCCTTTCAGGCATGCTGGCTGAGCCTGCTGGTCCAATGCAACGGCAGGGAGATTTTGAACAGGTACAAGTAAGATCCATATTCACTTAAACCAAGAGTCAAGTCTAGTGAGAACAGGAGCTGTGCTCCCACTAACATTCAATTGATTTCTTAAATCCAGGCAGCTAGGAAGTGGTCGGAAGAGTAGTTCAGACAGAGATGTCAGAGGTGCAGGATTTTTGGTCACTGTCACCCGGAGTGGATTTGAACCTGGGCTCACCCTAAAGCAGCAGCCTGGGGAGACCAGAATTGGAATTTGGGAGTAAGATTAGGTATAAAGTGTCTCCATAACCCCAGGCCAGGGAAGCATTTTTAAGAGGTCTTTGGAGCATTCCTGAGAATGTGTATCAGGGAGAAAGGGCACCACAACACGGCAACAGGGTCCCCTCAGCATCTCTTACCACTATCATGCGGGGGTTCAGCAGCGTGAGGTCCAGGTCATGAATATCGGGGTAACGGGGGTAATCCTCAGCCATCTCGGCATACGACAGTCGAGGCTGGCTGGTGCTCTGCAATTGAAAAATGAAAAAGCCTCGCTGAGGAGAAGCATCGCCCTTCCTAAAGCAGATGAATGACTGAAGCCACACAAGGGCATAGCTGAGACTGGTGCTCTCAGCAACCCTCCTGGTCCCGCCGACAAGCTCAGGGAGTTACACACGCCTGGAGAGGGATTCTTGGCAACAATTCACAATGGCACAGGGCACATTTAAACAATACAAGGAGTCACGCTTTTGGCAGAGGAAAGGAAAGGACTGATTTGTTCTCCAATCCCATGGAGGATCTATTCCCATCTTTGGAAGGCGGCACCAGGATACTTTGTGGGAGTTGGGCACCAAACAGGCTGGATCATTTCTCTTGCTACACGCCCGGAGATACCTCTGTCCAGCAAACCACTGAGAGGCAGAGACACGGGGGACAATAACACCATGCTGACGGGTGCACTATGGGTAGTCAGACCTCTCCCCTCCCACAAGGGGATGTCACCTCTATGCAATACACCGGGTATATTCACAGACAAGCTGCTATTGTTTGGTAGCTGCGCCTTCCCCTGTGCTTGCACAGTTACATAACAGGAATAGTTCTCACTTTGCAGACAAAAGGGAGGATTCACTGTTCTACGGGGACGATGGAGTTTAAAATACTGCATGCCAGCCCCTGGGGATGCCGTCTTCCCAATTCCTCCCTGCCCACAGAGAATCCTCATCTGCCCCAGAATCTGCAAGACTCACCGACTGACTCTCAGAGTAACAGACTCCTCGGACGAGCAGGGTAACCAGCTGCGAGCGTAAGATCAGGCCGTGGAACGTCAGAGGTCGGAAGCGTTCCTCCATGGTCCACTCTTCACTGGGGGACTGGTCTGGGTACAGGTTGGGGTAGGGAGTGTATCTGTGACAGATTTCACACCACTTGTTACAATGGGTACTGCTTGGAAGTACTTAAAGTAACAATGGCAGAGGAACAGAACCACCAAAATAGGTTACTGTCTGACAGCTGTGAAGTGCTTGGTCCACAGTGAGTGGCTTTCATGCAAGCATTTCAAAGCACGTCACAATGGGGAAAACACTTGCCCATCTCTCGTACAGATCAGGAAACCGAGGCAAAGAGGGTTAAGTGACTTGCCCCAACACAGCAACTCAGTGGCAGAAGCAGACCAGAAACCAGCCTTCCCAACGCGGAGCCCCTGCTCGGACCATGAAACCACACGTGTGTGAAAATCAGCTGCGGGTCCCAGCCCGGGTCCCAGCCCGGGTCCCAGCAGGCTGCTGTCCACATTGTGAAACCAGACCAGCGCAGTAGGACACTGGCTGCAAGCTCAGCAGGGGTCACCCAGGCCGGGCGAGGCACACGAGGGGGGAAACTTTGCACTGCCACCGCCCGTGCTGCAGATACAGCTGGCCGGCTGGCCTCACATGCCCCACGTCCCCTTACGAAAGAGGGGCAGGTGCTGCTAGGAGACTCCCAGGTACACCAGGCCCAGCAGGAGCCCGGAGGGAAATCTAGAGGAGGAATGGAGAGGATGGGGCTGGAGTACAGTAAAGAGAGAGGAAGAATGGTTCAGTGGCTAAGGCACCAGCCCTACAACTTGGGAGACCCGGGTTCAAGTCCCTGCTCTGCTGCAGACTCCCTGAGTCACTTAGTCTCTCTCAGCTCCCCATCTGTACAATGGGGCCAACGGCCCGGCCCGGCCCTGCCTCACAGTGCGTCGTGAGGATAACAACAGTAAAGATGTGAGGTGCTCAGTTACTATGGTAACGGGGAACGCATAAGCACCACAGGTAAACCCCACTGTGTTTCCAGCCACCGTCGCCTCCAGGGGTCTCACCGTCTCTCCAGCATCTGCTGCAGCAGATCCTCCTTCTCAGGCGGCTCCTCTGGTGCAATGTGCTCATCACACATGTTGCGCAGCTCGCTTGAGGGGTAAGATTTCATGGACTGGCTCCGCTTGCGCTGCTCTCCAGCTCTGGTGAGGATGCTGGATTTCTGCAGGGGGGTGGTGGTGGTGGGGTGAGCAGAACCTTTAGACAAGGGACATGGGTCTCGTGCAAAACAGGGGGTCAGAAACCACGTAAAGTGCAGAACATCTGAGTGCTCTAGGCAAGGAGTGCAAGAATTAACCCTTTCTGATCTCAGTTGCCAGCAAAGGACTATCTACTCTAAAGCTCTCCTAGGAATGGTATTTGCAGAATTGCCAGGACTGCAGGATCCACTCTCTTAAAAATGAGAGAATCTAGAGCTGGAACAGGCTTGGGGCTGCTCAGCTTGTCCAGCTTCTTGCTAGCTCAGGAGTGCTCCATACGGCACATCCACGAGCATTCCACACCCTCCCGCCCACCCCTGCCCGGTGGTAAGTGTCCCGAAGGAACGAGTTTCCACCACTGCCCTTGGGAGAGAATTCCTCATGGAGCACGATGGCTTCACTCAATCCCTCCTGCCACATATTTAGAATATTAGGAAACTTCCTGACACCAAAAAGTATTCGGCTGCAGAACAAAGTCACGGACAAGCTGCAGACAGAGGCAAGCATGAAGCATGCACCAGCCACAGCCCAGATGACACAGGAAGCTGCCCCCCTCCAGGATCAGAGAAAAGCCCCTTATCCCTGAGGTTACTGGGCAGCCACCTCCCTCCTGACCTTGAATCTAATGTTGTTGCTGATCAGCTGGTTCCCCTTCATGAACTCCTTCTCGTTCCCCCGGTTCTCTGTCACCACAGGGAAGGCGTGATGGACCGTTGTGCGGAGGATACTGACCAGTGACTGGATCCGGGTGTGGGGATACACGTACGTCAGGTTGGGCTCCATGATATCACTGGCTCTCAGCCTGAGGCAATGAAGAAATGCACTGCTGTAGGTGCCAACATACTTGCTGCAAACAAGCATGGTGCAGAACCAGCACCAGAGAGAACCCCAAGGAACCTATTCCACATTAGTGCTGCCTTTGCCCTTCCTACAAACCCTGTTTGCAGAGAACAGCTGTAAGGTTACTGAGGCAGCAACATTATCTACATAGCATCACAGGAATTAGACAAGATGACAAAGGCTCCTGTCCTAAAGAGCTTACCATCTAACTTAGACAGACAACACGAGGATTTCTTCACCACCACCACCAGGAAAGGGAAAACCAATGAAGAGACACTTCACACGAAACAGCAACTGTGTACTGCCTCAATGTTTTCACCAAGCCCTTCGTTGCTGTGTTCTGTCGCAACCTCTAGGCTTTGCGGTTTGACAGGAAGCAAAGCGTACGAGTACATGGGGAAGCACCCGTAGGACAGTGATTTTCTAGCAATGTCAGACAGAGCCTGCCCCTGCTACCTCCCTTCACTACAAGAACAATAGGTTCTTTAGCTGGACATAAGAGTGGCCATATTGGGTCAGACCAAAGGTCCATCTAGCCCAGGATCCTGTTTTCCGACAGTGGCCAATGTCAGGTGCCCCAGAGGGAATGAACAGAACAGGTCATCATCAAGTGATCCATCCCCGTCGCCCATTCCCAGCTTCTGGCAAACAGAGGCTAGGGACACCATCCCTGCCCATCCTGGCTAATAGCCACTGATGGATCTATCCTCCAGGAACTTATCTCCTTTTTTGAACCCTGTTATAGTCTTGGTCTTCACAGCATCTTCTGGCAAAGAGTGCCACAGGTTGACTGTGCGTTGTGTGAAAAAATACTTCCTTGTGTTTGTTTTAAACCTGCTGCCTATTCATTTCATTTGATGACGCCTAGTTCTTGTGTTATGCGAAGGAGTAAATAACACTTCCTTATTTACTTTCTCCACACCAGTCATGATTTTATAGACCTCTAAAATATCCCCCCTTAGTTGTCTCTTTTCCAAGCTGAAAAGTCCCAGTCTCATTAATCTAGACCCAGTCTTATTAATTAACAATGCATTTCAATCAACCAACCAACCCTGGTGAGATATTAGCCCACTTTAAAGATGGGAAAAGGGAGGTCCAGAGAGATTAGGTGACTTTCCCAGTCCACAGTGGCAGAGAAAGGGATAGCGCTCAGGAGTGCCTTTACTCTGATCACTCTGCCATCCACCTTTCTCAAGAAAAGCCCCAGGCTTCACGCCCAATCTCAAGCTACTTCCCCAACGCTTCCATGAAGTCCTGTAGGGAGGGAGGAAGGGGTGTCCCACCCCCAAGAGCATTTACCACCAGGCCAGAGAACCATAATCAGTTCTCAAACACAGGTACAGTCAAGAGCATTGTCCTTACTTGTCCATTTCCACCTCCGTCTCCCACTCCAGCAGCGGCACCCCTCGCAGGGTCACATGGATGTCATAGATGCCCTTGTTAAAGAAATCCCCTGTCCATTTGGCTACCTAGGAAGACAGAAAAGCACCAGTTCAACCGCTTTCTAAGCACAGGACTCCTTGTCCTCAAACCTGAGAGGAGGTGGATAGGATGGACATGCATAAGAGCCTCCCTGAGCCAAGCAGAGAAAAGCCAAAGTCCAGCCAGGAACCAAGAGAGGGGTGTAGACATGGTGCTCACCATCAGGGTGATCATTATCGGAAGCCCGTACGTGATCTCATTGGTGGATTCTATCAGGATAACGGTGAGGCTAATCGTCATGCGGACCACGCCTCCCAGGAACGCCGCCGCACCAATCAGCGCAAAGGTCCCCGAGTAGATGTGGTCCAGCCCAATGTAGCTAGGGAGGAAGCACACACAGCTCTGGCATCAGGACCAAGCTGCTCAAGTGTCTAGCCAGCTTCGGCAGCGTTCTACAGCACACACACGCAATGCACCTTTTGAGGAGGTTGGCGACCAGGCGTCCGAAGGCAGCCCCACAAAGCAGCGACGGTACAAAGAGACCACTGGGCACAGAGCTCCCATACGTCCAGCAGGACAGTAAGAAATAGAGAAGGAAGAACAGGGAGAGTGTGACTGGGCTGAAAGTACCTGCAACACAAGAAGAGTTATGACCCAGGGGGCACAGGCCTCCCGGGACCTCACAGAGTCCTCCCTTGGGATTGGAGCAGACTCTCCTCTCTACCTCAGAGCAGCTCCTTAGTCTCAGAGTCCCAATGAGCATTAGTGAGGATGACGAGACAGAGCGAGGGGGAAGCTAGGACCGCAGGCTCTATTCTCAGCAGGCCCTGAAAGCTACAGGAATTTGAAGACGCTTTTAGTTCTCAGATTCCCGTGGAAGCACAGGTGAGGCTTAGACCAGACTCTGATGATGCTGGTGGGGACCTGAGCACGACATCTCCTGGACACTCACCATCCTGGTGGAAGAGCTGCAGGATGGCTAACTCCTGGGGGTTGAAGAAGAGCGTTGCCATGTCGTTGTAGGTTTCATTAGGGCAGAAGAACGTCTTGATGCTTGAATTCACGTCCTCCGATGAAGAGCCCTAACCAACAGCAATCAGACATTATGTTAATTTATAATCTGGTCAAGCCGCACTGGGAGTTGCCACTAGGACCGGAGTAAAAACACACACCCCTTTCAGCATTGCCTTTGGGGAAATCTCACCCAGACAGAGGACACAGGACTTGAAATGAGCCCAGATACACAACTGCCACCAATTTTCCCCAGGGGGACAATATTCTCTCATGCATCCGGCTTTCATCAGCACATGCAGGCCTATCGGCAGGTGATGGAGTCTGTTAGTGAAGCTCTGTGGGTACGTCTATGAAGGGCGTATATTAACGTAAGCGAGGTTGCGTTACATGGGCACACTTTACAGATGCATGTTTCCTGGGCTGGTGGAGACTGTGCAGGAATGTGCCCCTCTGTAGGACGAGTGTTACCTGAAGGCTCAGAGTGCTGTTGCCACTAGGATTGGTGGAAGACATCTGCCGGCATTCTCCTAGAATCATGGACGCTACGAACACCACAACGGTGGTTGTTAGACACACCAGCAGGCTCTCCAAGACTCTGCAAGCACAAAGCAGAAACCATGCAGGGACAACCATGCTCAGAGTAATCGAGCCCTTGGTCTTTGCACACAGCCCTGCATCCCAACGTTGCTCTGAAAAAGCGACAGTAACCAGCAATTTGGGGCTCCACTTAGCAGACAGCAGGTCATTTTAGGTTCTGTAAGACAGGCTGTCCAGTGATCATGTTCATTCTGACCAGCCACGCTGGCTGGGCAAAGGGATCCATCCAATCAGGAGTAAAAAAGCCAGTGCAGGCCAGGAGGCCACTCCTCTGATATGGGATGACAGGCTTTGAAAACTCTTTGGCTGGTGAGAGTATTTGGACACAGTGTCATTTAACTCTGCACTGGGCTTGCACTGTATAGACCCCCTCTGCCACCACATCAATCCAAGAGGCCCACACTAGGATCTGAGAGATGATGTTACAGCCTTTCCTCCAATTTCAGTCACTGCTCCTCCTTATCCACATGCCCCCTCGGGTAGGGCTCTTGGACCGTACAGCACATGGCGAGGCTACACCCATAGCAATGTCTGACAGACATGCTTTTAGCAGCCTTCCATGGGCTTTTCTGGATCATTCAAAATTGATCTCTTCCTTGTTAGCTACATGGTAATTTCCTGTAACCAGAGCTTGAATTATGCACTGATTTCCTGCACCAATAGAGTGGACAGCTTGACCTCAGATGTTCTGATCAAATGAACTGATTAAGTAAAGGGCACTGTGGTATAATCAGCTGTTCCTATCAGGACTACTTCACCCGAGCCAAGACCTAGGGAGACCCCCAGTGGTGACACACAGGCAGCACAAGCTATATTGTTAGTTTAGGAACTGAAAAGATCTACAGGATCTGTCCCTACAGCAGCCTCAAAGAACCCCCTTTATACTCATCATAAAGGTATCCTGGCTCCTGTATACCACAAGGGTCATTACAGGGATGTAGTGGGATTGTAGCAGCTGAGGTTAGCTTAGTGTTCTTTGTGAAAATGCTATACGGTTTGCCAGGTTTTGTTATTTCACTGGGATGGATTTGCCTCCTCTCACCTAGTTCCAATTTTTCAGTATTTTAGCCTACGTGGCTCTTACTCTTTGAGGCGCTGTGGACACAGACAGTGGGGACAGACAGCCACACACAGAGATTACACCAAGGCAGGTGAAAAGGAGCACTGATACCTGACGAGCTTCGGCTTTGGATGTACGTTCCGCATGCGGTATTTCGCCAGCCTCTTATTCAGGCAGTTGAAGGTGGCTCCAAGAAGGCCTCCTACAATCCCCATCATAATGAAGAACCCCAAGTCCATGGCCGTCCAGAGGTGGCATTTTTTATCAGAGTCAGAACACTGGGGAGGGAGGACAGGTGAGGGAAGAGAGAGGGAGAAATGCAGGAATGAGACCAGGCAGCAAAAGAGCAGATGGAGACGTACCAAAGCAGGCACCCAACACCGCGGCCACTTCTACCTCAGGCAGGAAACATTTAACAGCACCGACCACAGAACAGGATTCATTCCCTCTGTCAGACCAGAGCAGTAATTTTCCCCTTTCTCCAGGGAGCAGCTAGGGCATTCCAGCCAGAGCACCTCTGTTGGATTTCAACTAACAGTGCTGATTGGTTTCACACAGCAAGCCAGGGCGACTGGAGAGGCAGTAAAGCAAGCACAACACACCTTGAACTCCCCAAAGTTTAGCAGCCCAGGTAGCTGGAAAGATCCCCAACTTCTGAACTGAATCCCGGAGCGGAAGAAGTTCAGAGTGAAGGTAGCAGCCATGGAACAAAAGAGCTGGAGAAAGAGAGAGGCAGGAAGAAAAACACCCAGGTCAGTGGCGACAAGGCCAGTCTTTCCACACAAATCATGTCTGGGGAAGGGAGCTTGCAACCTACTGGCACTTCCAAAATTTAATCTTTTTACTGTGTTCAGAAAATAAGGCCACAAGAGACCATTGTGATCCCCTATTCTGACCTCTTGCATAACATAGCTCCATAGAATTTAGCTCAGTAATTCCTGCAACAAGCCCCTCATTCTGGTCATGGGCACTGAGCTGCAGCAGCTAGAATCAATTACAGGGCATGTACACAGCTTGTTGGTGTGTGTAATTTATAAATTGAGGCCTAAATTGGCTCTGGATTGGATTACAATCTTGGGGAAGCCCTCTGCTCTTTTAATCCACTCTGGAGATGGGAGTCTGCCACTGCTTCCAAGACGCGCAAAGTGTTTGGCAAAAAAAAAAAAAAAAAAAAAAAGGCCAAGTCACAACACCAAAGATTGCTATTCTAGTACAATCTGATGTGTTCTGAGAACTCTGCCAACTCCAGCCCAATGCAGCAATCTGAGTCAGAGAATTTCTCCAACCCTAAGGCAAAGCAAAGTCTCTTTCTCACAGCACATGGGGACGCAGGGATCGAACCTCCGCCTACTGTACTCCCACTGCCTGGAAGAAACACAGGAGCAAAGCCATTTCTCAGAGCTGCCCCAACAATGTGGAACAATTCCTTCCCGACTGCATTCCTGGGAAGCACCACTGACCCCCAGCTATAATTCTCTAGCATCAACACTGCAAGCAGTTCACATTGTGCCAGGAGAGCTCAGCTTGAGAGATTCAAGAATCTCAGGTTCGTCACAGCCGAGCTCTCTGGCTTCCAGCTCGAGTCCCCTCTCACAGGGAAGGGGAACCCAAAGAGCCAAAGTTCTCACCACTTTCCACGTGAGCCCCTGGTTCCAGAAGGAGGAACCTTCTTCCAAGCTGAACAGAGTGCCCCCGATTGGGGCCCCAAAGGCTGCAGCAACCCCCGCAGCGGCCCCTGCAGATACAAAGTCCCTTTTGTCCCTAAGCACAGAGAGAAACAATGTGAGTTTATCAAGGCAGAATCCGGAAGGAACTCGGAAAAGGGGAATCAAGCCTGGGACTAAACTAATTTCTTGATAGGGGCAGCCAGCTGTGCCCAGTGGGCAGCATGATGCAGTTAGCTAGCTGCTGTCGGGTTTATCATCTCTCCCTAAAGTAGTACGTCTGGCTGTGGCCAGTATTTTCAATATGGGATTGAAGGGACCAGTGGTCTGATACATTATGACAAATCTTGTGTCCCCAACACCTTTTGGAGGGGGCTGCGCACCAAGAGGATTGTGGGGGAGGCAAGGTGCCGCAGGAAGGAGTCTCACCTGGAAATACAACTATGTACCTTCTCTCCATTGGACTAACAGGCTCCAGCTGACTGACCCACCCAATCTAGCACCCCCTCTCCACCCTACCAGGCCCCCCCTCTCAGGTACAGTACCTGTCACTTCGGAAATAGGGAAAGTTAAACTGGATCTTCCTAAAGGAGATGCTCTGGAACTGAAAAACAAAAGGACAGAGTCAAAACTGACACAGTGATGAACCAAGGCAGCCCCTCCCTCCCACAACACCCCTTTGGGAGCAGCCAATGCTTGGGAAACACCGCACTTTTCTGCCTACATCTTGTTACTCCAACTGTATGTCCTGGCGGAGGGAAAGCAGACAAGGAAATGTACTTTACGATAAGGTACTGGTTCCTCTTCTAGCAGATCCTATTTACAGAGCTCAGCGCATGCTGGGAGCTTTGTCCCGGGAGGGTTCTGCAAAGTACACACTACCTGCTTCTGCTGACCAGTCTCCGGGGTTTTCTCTCCTCTCACCGTGAGAGAGAGGAACGTCCAATGCTCCCTTCCCTTCCTGCAACATCTTGGCCTAAACAGGCACTGCATCCCATTGGGGATTAGAGTTCATTTCCTTTTCGTCTCTCAGCACAAACAGAGAGGCTCTCCAGACACCCCAGCACTGGGGTCATGAAGCCAGCATTCACACGCCAGAGGCCGCGAGGCCGAGCCAGGAGGCAGTGTCTGCCCTCAGGAGAAAGGACTCTTCCGTTTGTCAGCTGTTCTGGCACAGTGCGAACAGCTACACTGTGCTGCTGTTTGCCTTATTCACACGCCTAGGAGGAGCCACTGCCCAGAGAGGGGATCCCATCTTTATCCCTGCTCAGTGCTGGGTTCCTCCTGAGCCTGTAGCAGCCCTCACCAGGTGATTGAGGGAGGAGGTTATGGCGCTTATACGGATTTAAGATGGCCCAAACTTGTGACCTAGAAACGCACAGCGGAGAGGGTGCAGAACGAGGCCAATTCAGCCATGTCATCCCTCCATCATTACTTTAGCTTCTAAGAGAACATATCTAACAGACACGACACCTGATCTTAACCAAGGGGTTGAGAGGGGCAGAGCCCAAGTCGCAGAGCGTCTCAGAGCATTTCCAGCACTAACCTGAGGCAAGCCAGCCCCCACAATAGCGCCACTGTGTATCATGGGGCCCTCCTTCCCTACAAAGAGTCCTGAAAAACAGAAAGCGTTCTCATTGCAGAAGTTCGACGTTTGCAGACAAACCCAGCACGCTCCGTCCTGTTCTGCAGTACTAGGAGAGGGGGCCAGCACTGCTTTGCCATGGGGCACAGAAACCAGTCACCCCCGTGCCTGTGTAGAACTAGTTTCCAACACGGAGGCTGAGTGCAGATCAAAGGGAGAAATTCAGGAGCAGCATGACTCCAGGATGTCAATATTCCACGCAGCATCAGGCAGGCATGTCCCAGTGGGGGGGGGCATATGTGTTGTGCCAACACATGCTTCTGCACAGTGAGGACATCAGCCATGCACCTGAGGCTTGGCACCGGGAGTGCACTAAATACACCCATCAAAGAGGGCTGTTATCCCCAGGTGTCTGCACTCTCCCAAGGCATAGTGGGTGAAATGCTTCCTGCTGCTTGTTCAGGTAGCTCTAGGCAGCGTGTTCCTGGCACTCAGACAGCATTTACCGACCAGAGTCTCTGTTCTCCTTCCCATCACCGGCTATAAAGGTGCAGAGCCACTACTGACCTGCCCACCTGGAGATTTTCAGTCAAACTCTGTTCCCCACCATCACACACTTAGTCCATGATGCATCTGGCAGCTTCCTCTTACCTCCGGCTACGCTGAAGAGTACTCCCAGAGCTTTGCACACCAGTGTCCGGAGACGGACTATCCCTGGCACCTTCACTCCGTTCAGGTAACATTTAATCTCCGGAATTCCAGAGCCAGCTGCCACGGGCTATGAGGAGGACACATTAAACACCACGGTGCGTCAGCACCTCAGCAGACTGATGAGCCCCCACCAATGAATGCAGAAAGGGACTAGGGGAAACAGCGCATCGAGAGGCTGAATTCATTAGTCTTTGTAAAATGCCCTCCTGCAGCACCTTCCGACCCAAGATTTCAGAGCAACAGACTTCATGGGCATTACCTGTTTGATAGCAGGGACAGAGAGGGGAGGAAAGGGTATATTAATAGCAGTCTCACCTCGATCAGGACAAGAAGGCTGGCAAGGAAGATGAAGGTCAGGTTAAACCCCAGCAGCTCCAGCAGCGACATGGCAAGGCAGCCCTTCTCACTGCACTCCTCCACCGCTGCAAGGAGGGAGTCAAGGCAACAGGAACACACACACCTCAGCCAACACACTCTGTAGGGCCCATTAACAGGACCCAAGGCTGAATCTCCTATTCCAGCCACCAGCCTTCAGAAAGCAGGCTCCCATCACAGCCCTCTGACCAAGCTGGTCTAAGCCTAAGATGCCCAAACCACAAGCCAGCAAGAGCATCTGACAGGCCCATGATGTTCTTTCATGGATCGGTGTTTCCCAGAAAGTGGCAGCCCACTCCGTGGTTACTACACCCAGCAACCACAAAGTGGTCTCGACTTCCATCTTCACTGCGAACACCTTATGCTTTCCCCTTTTACATGCTGTCCAACCGGACAATTCACAGGGCCCAGCAACAGAGAGGGACAACAAGAAATGCTGATGGCACCTTCTGTGCATGAAGTATAAGGCAGCTCCTCTGAGAAGGAGCCAGGGAAGCATGAGGATTAGAGAGCCACAGTGTGGGTCTAACAGACAATGCTGACGATTTCCCGTCAAATCATTCTGAAGGCACTGCAGAGACCCTCCATGGCAAGCATTTTTTACAGCATTTACTGGGGCCGGTTTCTCTTCCAGAATCCAGCTCTTGGTCCCAGTGATTCAAAGCCCAGATCCTGGTGAACTGAGTTTTGCCAATGGCTTCAGCGGTAGGAAGACTGGGCCAGAAAGTACCCGTAAACCATGTAAACCATGCTACTCACGGTCTGTCATCTCTGCCAGGGGGACTTTCCCAGCTACTGAGCAGAATCCACAGTAGGAAGTTTAGTGGTTAACAAACCCCTCCGCCCAGGAGAGTCCTCTAATGGAACTAACCCTTTCAGGACCAGGCTCTGGTTTTAAAAGAAAGAGGCCACCTGAGTCCAACAATAAGGCAGGAACCACATAAAGGATACAGGTTTGTACCACATGGAATTTGAGTTGGGAAAAGAGTCGCACAAAGAAATCCACAAATAGACCCACCTGTGAAAGAGAGAGAAGGAGAGACCTGGCATCAGAGATCAATTACTTGCAAATGCCAACAGATCACCCCACTGAGACAGCTGCAGTCTGACAGAACACTGGTAATGCAGCAATTATGCATGACAGCTCCTGCACAGGCTGCTAAATCCCACAAGTGGGGAAGGAGAATCAAGGCAAAGTAACTCCAGGTACTCAGACTCACTCCCTGCTATGCTCTTCTCAGACACATCCACCCCCATCCTATAGCCAAGATGAGGCAATGAGCTTTCCATATGACTGCCTGGGCAAATTGTTAAGAGCTAGGAAAGAGATACTCCCATGTGAGCATATCAGCAGTAGGAGCAAGCTGCAGCTGAATCCATCAGCTTTGTCAACAGAGTCCAGGTCTTGACAGTCTGTATTAAACCTGAGACATGCACAAACCACCCCCAACTTCACAGGCACCCCAGAAGACCCAAACACGTACACAGTGAAGCTAATATTCACAGTACATCTGAGGATACAATTCTGTCCTATTTGATCATTCCATTAAGTGGTTTCTTAAGGCAGGTTTCACTGCAAGCAGACTATTAGCCTTTGGGGATCTGCAAGGTAAACCTTGTAAGGAAAAGACACCGAGATGACTTATAGCAAAAAACCCCCGCCCTTTAGAAAGAAGATAATTCAGATGCATTCTCTTGTGATACTCAGAAAGGCCCAGCACCAGCCACAGACAAAGCAATCTTCTTAATGAAACACAAGGCACTCTCCTAATGGGTCTTTGGTTCTAATAATTTCCCTGCTTCCCACCCAGTAGGCTCCTTACCAGTCCAGTGCAGACTCCAATGGCGAAAACCATCACCCACTTCACCGCTTCATACCTCCGGCCTTTCTGTTTAGGGCAAGGCAATATAAGCAAGTCAAAGTATACACAAATGGGGACCAGAGAAATGTGACATCACAGTCACCAGCTGGGACAGAACTGGAGAGATAAAACAGTGGGCACAGACAAGTATCCTGAGGAGCATCAGAGGACTGGGGAGAGGGAGTTTGAATGATAAATATATCACGTTAAACCCGAGGCTCAGGGAAGGTCCTGGGTGCTGTGGGAGCCTATTTCTGCCCTTTTGATATAAAAGCTGAGCAGAGCACAAGGGTAAACAATACTTCTCCCATGGGAATGGGGGTCAGCCAAACCTGACTGCAGTGGAGGATATTTCTATGGATTTAGCTCTCTTAAACCAACAAAATGGGAGAGAGAGAACAGGCTCCTACCTTGTTGTCCATGCTTTCCAGTACTTCCAAGTAGGGGTCATTGATACACCGGTCATAATCCAAGCTCTGGCAAAGAACACCACAGGGTTAATGGGAGATAAGCAGCTGAAACTGATCAGGCTGAGGCTTATCTAGAACTAGGAGGCTCACAGCAGGGGATGGGGAAGCATGTTAAGGGTCACTGCAATAGTTCAGGCCCTATATGTAGGCCTGGCAGACCCCACTAAGAATACAAGTGTTTGGGAGCAATTTCAATGAAAACAGAGGTTTTGAGAGATTGAAACATTACCCCTGTAGGGCTGGAAACCCAAACCCTACATTATTAGCACATCTGAACCAGGAAGTGAAACAAGCCAATCTAGTTTACTGCCCAGACTGTGTGAAATACAAAACTAACCAAACATAGGAAATGGAAAGCAACTGAAATTTTCAATCCCATTTTAATCTAAAGTAGTCGTAACACACATGATTTAAACAGGATTTTTAGCTTGACAGAGACTCCAATTTCACAGCGCTATGGACTGCATCAAAATGATATACCTAATCCTTCTCCCCCTAAAAGCTATGTATTACATGAAGGGTTCTACAGGGCTCAGTATTCTGATGAAGTGAGCTGTAGCTCACAAAAGCTTATGCTCAGATAAATTGGTTAGTCTCTAAGGTGCCACTAGTACTCCTTTTCTTTTTGCGAATACAGACTAACACGGCTGCTACTCTGAAATCTGTCATTTCACAAGCTGCAACTATTTACTTTCTCACCTCATAGTCCTTGCGTGGAAGAATTTCGTCATCTTCTTCCTGTGTTTCCCCGAGGATAGTCTATGAAACAAACCCCAGAGGTAGGAGGAGAATTATCAGGAGAGCTAATGTACAGGCACCAGATATTGTGCACTGACTGGTGTTTATCATCATTGCACTGGTTAATCCAGGTCCCCAGGTTGTAGGGGGCCTAGTGCAGGGCAGTGCTCCAAAACGCTGGAGAGGGGAGTTGCCACTTCCCCAGGTCCTACTGCTGGAGAGAAGAGTAGAGCCAGCTGTGTGAGGCAGAACTAGCATGGCACGCCAAGCAGCAGGTGAAGCGTAATTCACATTCTTGCACTCCCTAAAGCTAGCATAGATGAAAAATGGCCTCCCCATGCCGCTCTGCAAGGATAGCCAACCCTCAAGCCAAGAACATAATGGGAAGAAGGATATTCCAGCTCGTAGACAGCCCGAAGAAAGCAGAATCTGGAGCTAGACTGATATATTCAAACCCAGCATCCTAGTAATGATCCACACTTATAACGCACCTTATCAAAGCGCTTTACAAACATTAACTAACCCACACAAAGCACCTCAAGGCAGGAAAGTATTACCTCTTTTTTAGAGATGGGGAAACAAACACAAGAGTTATAGGACTTGCCCAGAAAAACATCGGCACAGCCAACGCTGTAACTCAGGAGTTCCTTACTCTCAGGGCACGTCTACACAGCAGCTGGGAGGTACGATTCCCAGCTCAGGTAGACATACCTGTAGTAGCACTGCTCAAGCTAGCATCTACAAATAGCAGTGGCTGCTCAAACTACCTGCCTGAGCACAATCCCTACCAACCCCAGGGTACGTACTTGGGTGGCTGGCCCCCATCGCCGTAGCCACACAATTTTTTGCTGCTCGCTCAAGCAGAGCTAGCAGACGTCTGTCCACCCGAGCTGGGAATTACACCTCCCTGTAATTACTCCCTGTAATTGCTGTACCCTTCATCTCGTGTTCAATTCCTTAGAAATGTATTCCACTTTAGCTGTGATGAATTTCTGCTCTCACCTGAGCCTGTGTTATTTTAGATTTCGATACCCACAGTATGAGTGGGGCAGAAAGAATAAAGGAAAGGGATCTACAGTATGAACACCAGAGGTGTCAAGCCAGGAACACAGTACAAACAAAGACAGCTGAAGGCAGATAGGACAGAGCCGCGCGTGTGTGTTTAGAGAGGGGATGATTTTGCATGGCACACAGGTGAAAGGTTAGCAAGAGAAACTGAGGCCAGAGAATGGCTCCTTTTCCCCTAACCCATTTAACTCCGACCTTTTGTCTCATTTCAAACTCCCGCGCCCCTTACCACCTGCTTGCTCTACTGCAGCAGAGAGCGATGAAGAGACAAGACGAGTTAACAGAACGGGCAGCCCCAACCCTGAGCTGTACGGGAGACAAAGAGACATTACAGCCGGGCTGAGCCGGGGAGGAGGTGGGAGAAGCAAGGGGAAAGCCAAGGGCAGACAAAGAGCCATGGTGAAAGCAAAGGACTCCCGGGGGGGAGGGGGTTAGGAGGTGCAGGGGCGGGGCGGGAGGACTCCGCCTGCCCTGGCTGCCAAGGAGACAGAAAGCCCCAGACACTTGTATGAGGCTATTTGCATAAAGGAAAAGGGGCCGCTGCGCTCTGCTCCAGACACCCCCCCGGCCCCTGCCCTGCAGCGGCTCCCCCACGCCCAGCCCCCCCCGCTCCCAGCGGCTCCCCCCCGCCCCACGCCCAGCCCCCCCCGCTCCCAGCGGCTCCCCCCCCCGCCCCACGCTCAGGCCCCCCCGCTCCCAGCGGCTCCCCCCCCCGCCCCACGCCCGGCTCCCCCCCACCCCACGCTCAGGCCCCCCCGCTCCCAGCGGCTCCCCCCCCGCCCCACGCCCAGCCCCCCCCCGCTCCCAGCGGCTCCCCCCCGCCCCACGCCCAGCCCCCCCCGCTCCCAGCGGCTCCCCCCCCGCCCCACGCCCAGCCCCCCCCCGCTCCCAGCGGCTCCCCCCCGCCCCACGCCCAGCCCCCCGCTCCCAGCGGCTCCCCCCCGCCCCGCCCCGCCCCCTCCCAGCGGCTCCCCCCACGTCCAGCCCCCTCCCGCTCCCAGCGGCTCCCCCCCCGCCCCACGCCCAGCCCCCCCGCCTCCCAGCGGCTCCCCCCCGCCCCACGCCCAGCCCCCCCCGCTCCCAGCGGCTCCCCCCGCCCCGCCCCCTCCCAGCGGCTCCCCCCACGTCCAGCCCCTCCCGCTCCCAGCGGCCCCCCCGCCCCACGCCCAGCCCCCCCCGCTCCCAGCGGCTCCCCCCCAGCCGCCTACCAGCTCCTCCGGGGTGCGGCTCTCCCTCTCCCCGCAGCACGGGCAGCAGCAGCACCACCAGGGGGCCCCGCACCCCGCCATCTTCCTCCGCCGCCGCCCACCCACCCCTCACGTGACGTCTCCCTCGTCCCCGCCTGGTCTCGCCCCACGTGCGAGGAGACGCGTGAGGTGGGCGGGGGGAATGGCGGGTTCTGGGTCACGTGACGAGAGGGAGGCCCGCTGGGCGACTCCTCCCCCGGGGAGAGGAATTTAACGCGCGCTCCCGTGGCACCGGGCACGTGCAGGAACTTGGTGGAGCTGAGACAGCTGGAGGCCGGGGTACGTGCGGGGGGAGCCCGGATCCGGGCGGCGCGGCCTGGCTCCTCCCTCTGGGTACGGGGTCCGCGCGTGGGGGGAGACCCCGGATCAGCCCCCCCATCCCCGGGCTGGTCCGCGCGTGGGGGGAGACCCCGGATCAGGCCCCCCATCCCCGGGCTGGGTGCGTGCGTGGGGAGAGACCCCGGATCAGGCCCCCCATCCCCGGGCTGGGTGCGCGCGTGGGGGAGAGACCCCGGATCAGGCCCCCCATCCCCGGGCTGGGTGCGTGCGTGGGGGGAGACCCCGGATCAGGCCCCCCATCCCCAGGCTGGGTCCGCGCGTGGGGGGAGACCCCGGATCAGGCCCCCCATCCCCGGGCTGGGTGCGTGCGTGGGGGAGAGACCCCGGATCAGGCCCCCCATCCCCAGGCTGGGTCCGCGCGTGGGGGGAGACCCCGGATCAGGCCCCCCATCCCCGGGCTGGGTCCGCGCGTGGGGGAGAGACCCCGGATCAGCCCCCCCCATCCCCGGGCTGGGTCCGCGCGTGGGGGAGAGACCCCGGATCAGGCCCCCCATCCCCGGGCTGGGTGCGTGCGTGGGGGAGAGACCCCGGATCAGGCCCCCCCATCCCCGGGCTGGGTGCGTGCGTGGGGGAGAGACCCCGGATCAGCCCCCCCCATCCCCGGGCTGGGTGCGTGCGTGGGGGAGAGACCCCGGATCAGGCCCCCCATCCCCAGGCTGGGTCCGCGCGTGGGGGGAGACCCCGGATCAGGCCCCCCATCCCCGGGCTGGGTGCGTGCGTGGGGGGAGACCCCGGATCAGCCCCCCCCATCCCCGGGCTGGGTGCGTGCGTGGGGGGAGACCCCGGATCAGGCCCCCCATCCCCGGGCTGGGTGCGTGCGTGGGGGGAGACCCCGGATCAGGCCCCCCATCCCCGGGCTGGGTGCGTGCGTGGGGGAGAGACCCCGGATCAGGCCCCCCATCCCCAGGCTGGGTCCGCGCGTGGGGGGAGACCCCGGATCAGGCCCCCCCATCCCCGGGCTGGGTCCGCGCGTGGGGGAGAGACCCCGGATCAGCCCCCCCCATCCCCGGGCTGGGTCCGCGCGTGGGGGAGAGACCCCGGATCAGGCCCCCCATCCCCGGGCTGGGTGCGTGCGTGGGGGAGAGACCCCGGATCAGGCCCCCCCATCCCCGGGCTGGGTGCGTGCGTGGGGGAGAGACCCCGGATCAGCCCCCCCCATCCCCGGGCTGGGTCCGCGCGTGGGGGAGAGACCCCGGATCAGGCCCCCCATCCCCGGGCTGGGTGCGTGCGTGGGGGAGAGACCCCGGATCAGCCCCCCATCCCCGGGCTGGGTGCGTGCGTGGGGGAGAGACCCCGGATCAGCCCCCCCATCCCCGGGCTGGCTGGGTGCGTGCGTGGGGGGAGACCGCGGATCAGCCCCCCCCATCCCCGGCTGGGTGCGTGCGTGGGGGAGAGACCCCGGATCAGCCCCCCCCCATCCCCGGGCTGGGTCCGCGCGTGGGGGAGAGACCCCGGATCAGCCCCCCCCATCCCCGGGCTGGGTGCGTGCGTGGGGGAGAGACCCCGGATCAGGCCCCCATCCCCGGGCTGGGTGCGTGCGTGGGGGAGAGACCCCGGATCAGGCCCCCATCTCTGGGCAGGCTTGGTGGGGGAGCTCAGATGCATTGCAGGGGTGGAGCTGAAAGAATAGGGGACACACAGAATAGGCTCGGAGACACACAGTGAGCACCCAGAGCCCAAGGGAGCCCCGAGGCAGGACAGCGCAGAACCAGGGAAGGGGGAGATTTAGGTGAAAAGAGAGGGAGACTCCTGCCTTGAGCTGGGTGGGAAACTGTTGTTCCACCCAGAGGAAAGGTTTGAGATTTCAAAAAAGTTCCCTGTGCAGGACTGGCACAAAACGGTGAAAACCTGACAATTTTCACTGAACTGAAATTTCACAGTGTTTTGTTTTGGAAACTGAACCAGGGTGTTTCCCAAATGAAATGTGCTCCCAGGCTGGCTGCAGTGGAGCAAGCCCTGACTGACTTCCAAGCAGGCTGGCAAGGAGCCCAGCCTGGGAGTTGACAAGAAGCCTATGCAGGTTGCCTACAAACTGTCCAGACAGTGGTAACTGAACTGTTCCTGTAAAATGGCTCAATTGATGAATCAGCAGATTCAAAACACCCCCCTCCCCCAGTTTCCCCCAAAATGTTTAGGTTTTTTTTTATTTTAGGGAATCTTTCTGACCAGCTGTACTCCAGCCCTTATGGGGATATCTTCATTCTGGAGTATAGGCAAACTGGCATGGACCCAGCCTCCCTAGGCTGGCAGCAGTTGCCTGTTTGGAAGTAGGGGAAAGGGGCTTGTGGGCTGATAGAGATGGACAATACCCCCCACCCCCATTATTAGAAATAATATTAGTTCCATTTTACAGATGGGGAAACAGAGGGATCACAGTCAGTGGGAGAGCTGAGATTAGAACCCTGGAGTCCTGGCCTCCCCTTCCTTAATCTGTACAGTACTCTCAGCCTTTCCAGACTCCTGTCCCCTTTTCAGGAGTCTGATTTGTCTTGCATACCCCCAAGTTTCCCCTCACTTAAAAACCGCTTGCTGACAAAAATCAGACATAAAAGTACAAAAAAGTGTCACAGTACATTATTACTAAAAAATTGCTTTTACTTTCTCATTTTTACAATATAGTTATAAAATAAATCAGAATATAAATATATTTCTTATATATTTCTTAATATGACATATTTCAGTATAAAGTCATTGTCTGTATTAAATTTTAGTTTGTACGGACTTCGCTACACTTTTTATGTAGCATGTTGTAAAACTAGGCAAATCTCTAGATGAGTTGATGTACCCACTGGAAGACCTCTGCGTACCCCCAGGGGTATAAGTACCCCTGGTTGAGAACCACTGTGTTAGGCTGCCTGGCTTAAGATGCACAGGGGAGAGGTGCACCTGGCTCAGGAGACCTGGGAGAGTGGACTGCTCCCCCAGGGTCAGGGGAATGTGGGACCCAGCCAGGATGCCTCCTACACCTCCCATCCCAAAGCTGGGAAGTAATGTCCATCACAAGCCCTGCCTGGCAGCACCCTGTTTTGGTTGTTAGTTCTGCTCTGCTTGGGGGAGGGACAATCTGTCTGAGCAGCTAGGCATGTACTCATATGCTCCTTCTTGTACTTGCCTTGGGGGTTATTTAAGGTGAATAACTGATTAGTGTGGCCGTGGGCCAAGCTGTCCCGATCCAGTCCTTGGAAGAAAAGCCACGTTATCTCCTCTTTCACCACCACGGGGTCTGGCTCTGAAGCCTGGGCGAAGATTTTTGCCTCTCTGAAACTTTTCACCTCCTGACTTCACAGAGCAGCAAGTCCCAGCCTCAGGGCCTTCTATCTCCAGCCACCTTTCCCCTTGTAACTCCATTAGTTACTGAGGCCATGTGAGCTATTATCCTCTCTCCTGCTAATGCTCTTGCTCTCCAACCTCTCCTTGCTGTCTCCCCTGCGGCTGTGCAAACCCAAGCAATCACGTCAATAACAGCCAGTGGATACAGGGAATGAACGAAACCTACGGTGAAGGCAGAGGCTGGGTAGATGATTGTCTCTCACCTGTTACCGGCCCTTGTCTGGCTTCTCTTGCCAATAAGCCCTTATTGAATCTGAGGATGAGGGCGTGGCCTGGCATATTGCTGGTGGAGATACCTTATCTGCAGGCTCCTTTTCCAGGCTTACAATAATCAATTGTCCTCCTCTTGCCCCTTTCAGCAGAGGGCCTCAAAGCACAGTACAGACCCTAATGAATGAAGCCTCAACCCTTCCCTGGAGGTGGAGATATAATCCCAGATAGGGAAACTGAGGCACATATGTGACTTGCCCAAGGAACTGCAGCAACTCAGTAACAGAGCTGGGAAGAGACCCCATGAGTTAGGATTCCCAGTCAGTACCTTTGGTCTAACCCAGTGGTTCTCAACCTATTTACCATTGTGGACTGCATCCAATACGACCTATGTTGGCCCCTGAGGATGTCGCATGGGCCGCAGCTGTGCTGACTGGGCTGTGGGTTGAGAACCACTGGGCTAACCACTAACACCCACTTCTGTGCTGTGGGTTAGAACAATGATGGTGGGAGTAGAGAGGATCGGGCTTCACTTCTCAGTTACTGAACGCCAGGATTATGCTGCTTTTGGTTGTTTCTGCTCCAGTTGTAATTGTTCCTGTGACTGCTCTGTACACACATCTGGTCTGTATGCACACAAGAGATTGGAGGCCCAGCATCAGCAGCCTCCCTGCTCCTTTTTCACAACTCCTGCCAGCTGGACGGGTCCCCAGAGGCGAGACTAAGCCTTTCTCCTGAGCCTTTCAGCCTGAGCCCTCATGCAAGCAGCAAAGGAGGAGCAAAGTCCACCTACCCGTGGCTGGTTTGGGTGACATGGACAGGTGGTGCCATAAGTACAGGATTTGTGCTGTCGCTTCCTCCAAACAGAAGTTAAAGCAGCCTGTCCTGGGATGAGCTGGACTGTATGCTCCTTCTTTCCAAAGCACCGGGTGGAGAGCAGCTGAGAAGAGACACTTATCAAGGCCCTCTAGGCCAGGGAGCCATGCTCCGAATTGGGAGTTAAGAGGCCTGGAGTCTGTTCCCAGCTCTGCCACTGACTTGCTGTGTGTCTTTGGGCATGTCACTTCATCTCCCTGCATCTCTGCGTCGCCATCTGTAAAGCAAGTGTAAAGTGCTGATCTTGCTACAAGACCAGCAGCAGGCCAGGCTGTTTTCATTCCCGGGCTCAGGTTAGACTTGCCAGTCAGTCAGTTCATCCCCATTTTGAAGGGGGCTGATTGGCAGCTTGTCCCCCAAGGAATAACTACATTCCCTTTGGCCGCCCTGGCAGACAAGAGGACTTTTCCTAGCTTGCATCCAGGCATTCCAGCATGGTGTTTTGGGAAGAGGTTCTCAAGGGATGGGAATGCTGAGTGCATGGACAAGGAGGCTGTGTGTAGAGGGGAATGCAGGATGGGGAGAATCTCATTCGAAAGGAATGCTGGGTGATGGGAGAGTTCTCAGCTGAAGGCAGATTCTTGTGATGCCAGACTGGACACAGCACTAGGTAACACACATGGCACATGTCAGGCCGTTGTGACTAGCTGACCGTGCTGGACTTTTCCATCTGACTTCTGACAGAGAAGAAGACTATGGGCTTGAGGGCAGGGTTCTGAGGGTAGTGATCCAGCCTCTCTCCCCAAGCTATTTTAAGAAACATTGCTGTTTGGGAATAAACAGAAGAGAGACAGCATGGCCCTGCTGTGGGCACATCTTGTGCTAGAGAGGTGGCTGGACGCAGCCCACTCTGGACAGAGCTGCTGGCAACCCCAGTCCCTGTCCAGAAGGTCAGACTGACCTTCACGAGCTGCACGAGGACGCTGCGGTAAATAAATTGTAAAGCATTTGAAAGTTCAGAAAGAAACTCTTAAACCTACTGATTCCGATGAGGGACAAAATCACTCCTGTTTAACTTTAGGCTTTAGCAGAGTTACACCGGGGTGAATAAGGTCCACTGACTGCTCTCCATCACTGCATACTCAGGCTGATCTCCACGCGCAGCTGCTAAGTAGGGCTGACTAGGGTCTTGTAGGAGCTAGTTTGGAGGCAGGGACTGCCATACCCGCCAGAACTCCTTGGGAGCATTAGCAGGCGCCAAGGTCATTCAGCTGGCCCTGCTGTTCTGGTGGGGGCTCAGGACCCATTGCTGCTCCTCAGATCTTATCACTGCTCAGTGGGATTTCTGTACTGTTAAAAACCATTGAGCAGACATGGACGGAGAGTTCAGGGAAGGGAGGGTGTGGAGTGATTAACAACTCCTGAGTCTCCTTCCAGCCCCACTGAAATCTTCAAGTGTGGTGGATCGTTGACAACAGGGAGGCAACATGCATTCCTCCTACATCCTGTGCCCTGTGATCCCCCTTGTCTTCCGGCACCCTCTTCCAGCTCCTGCTTGGAGCAGCCTCCCATAAACTGCCTTCCTAGTCACCCCACAAAAGCCCCTAGGCAGTGACACCCACCCTCCTCCCCTCGCCCCCTCCCAGAGAGCGCATCATGGTCAACGAGCCCCACAGCGCCAGCAGTGGGAGTGCCAGTTCCAGGTCGGAGGGCAGCAGCAGCGGCAGTGAGAGCTCCAAGGACAGCTCGCGATGCTCCACCCCGGTCCTGGATGCTGAGCGCCATGAGCGGCTGCGGGAGAAGATGCGCCGGCGATACGACTCCGGGGACAAGTGGTTCTCCTTGGAGTTCTTCCCCCCGCGGACGGCCAATGGTGCGGTCAATCTGATCTCCAGGTGAGCCCTGTGGGGTGGGGGGAACGGGGAGGAGGTGTGATGGCTTTGACTGGGGGACAGCCTGATAGAGCCGGTTCAGGCCTGTGCTCTGTCTCCCTTCCAGGTGAAGAAGCAGGTAATGGTTCTGTGCTTCCCTGCTGAGAAGGGTGATGGACTCCAGGTAATTCATCTTTGCATCCCTGTAGAGTTAAACACCATGGTGAGATTACTAAGGGGGCTGGATCATTTTGTATGCGAACATATTCCTGCTAAAGGTGAATCCACTCTCATGCTTTAGAGTCTGAGCTGATCACTGTGGGGTCAGGCAGGGGGGCAGAAAGGAATCCTCCACTTGCTTAGTGTGCAGGATCTGGTAGGTGCATTGGTGGGGTATGTATGGGTGTCTCTCCAGGAAGCATCATGTATTAGTTTTTGCCCCTGGCAATGACCAAACTAGATGGACCGGTGGCTGGTCTAGTCTTGCGGGGCCCATGGCCTTGGCGACATGAATCCTGCTTGCTTTCCGGTCATCTAGATGCTTTGCTTTAGGCCCCGATCTTTTCCCCATCCTGGTGGAAGTCTCTCCCTGTGTGTCCAGGCCAAACCCCTGCAGTGCTGTGTAACGTGAACGCTCTGCCTCTTGTGCCCAGCCCGTGCAGAAAGGGCATCTCTGGTCACAAATCATCATGGCAACATCGAAAGGGAAAGGTGTGGTTTGAAAACCTCCGTGCTGTGCTAATGAGATAGCAGGCCCCTGCTTTCCATGCCATGGCCAGGTTCCAGCCTGGGGTAAGCAAGTGCAGCAGCGCTGAAGGCAGGGGAGTCTCTGGCATCTGGAGCAGGCCTCCGTTTGGAATCTGGACTTGGATTAGACCTATTAGTTCCCCTCCCAATGGCCCCAGCAGCGCCTGCTTATTCCCAGTAGTCCCCATTGTACCCTATTCCCTAGATGCGTATCATAGCCACGGGCCTGCCACCTTCTCCTTTGGAAGATGATGCCACAGCCTCCTAGATGTGGCTGGGAGGAAGCTTCTGGTAGATCCAACCTAGAATTCCCCCTCTTTTAAAAAAAATATCTTGCCCAAACTGCTAGTTCCACCTATTTGGCTATCCCTGAACATGGTCTCGCCTCTGTGGTGTTGATCTGCCAGTGGCCCTTAGTGGTTCCTTCACCAACCTGGAGCGAGTTAGCTCTTGGTCTCTTCTCCTGAGGTGGCTGCTTCAGCCTAGTAATTGTTCTTGCTGCTCTGATCCAAATTCCCTCCCGTCTGCCACACGCTGTCTGGTAGTGAGGTGCCTGGCGCTGAGTGCGATATCCCAGGCGTGCGGGTGGCAGCACCCCCAGAGGCTAGCAATAAACTGCTTCTGTTCTAATCTGCAGGTTTGACCGCATGGGGATGGGCGGCCCCCTCTTCATTGATGTGACTTGGCACCCGGCAGGGGACCCAGGCTCTGACAAGGAGACCTCCTCCATGATCATCGCCAACACGGCCGTCAACTACTGTGGCCTGGAGACCGTCTTGCACATGACATGTTGCAACCAGACCAAGGAGGAGATCACAGGGCACCTGCAGAAGGCCAAGCGTCTGGGGCTGAAGAACATCATGGCGCTGCGAGGAGGTGAGCATTCCTCTCTGCCCTGGGGATAATGCCAGAGTTACCCTCACCTCCAGCGAGCGATTCTTCTGTGGGAGGAGCTGGAATGAACCAACCTGGCGATCTAACATCCCTCCCAGTTCTGGGGCCATGTGGTTAAGCATCTGTCTGAATCTGTTCTCCCTGTTGCCTCAGGCCTCTGGATTAAGGCTGAGAGGAGTTAACCCTGACCCAGAAGGCGTGGTGTCTCCATCTCGGGGGGGAGGTGAAGGGCCCATGGGTGGAACCAAGTAAGGAAGCCAGTGAACTTGGAGACTCCATTTCCTCTTCTTCTCTAATGGGCGGCCCATCTAGCGCTGGTTGAGCTTTGCTATACACAGGCCCTGGGTCAGACCCGTCTCCATGTCTCCTCACGCAGATCCCATTGGCGAGGAGTGGGAGGAAGAGGTGGAAGGCTTCAACTACGCCATCGACTTGGTGAAGCACATTCGCTGCGAGTTCGATGACTATTTTGACATCTGCGTGGCAGGTAAACGCATCTTTTTATGGGCCAGCTGTGGCAGGGTTTGCCTCTGACCGTGGGGACCAGACTGTGCTGGCAGGACTCTGAGCGACGGCTTGTGGGTGCTGGACGGTTCAGATGTTTGATGCCCCAGCATGACTGAGGCTCTGGAAGAGTGAGCGGGCTGCCTCCTGGCTCAGCTCCTCCTCTTCTCTCTGAAGGTTACCCCAAGGGCCACCCTGAAGCCGAGAGCTACGAAGCTGACCTGAGGCACCTGAAAGAGAAAGTCTCTGCTGGTGCTGACTTCATCATCACGCAGCTCTTCTTCAGGTCCGAGACCTTCCTTGCGTTCATGAAGGACTGTCAGGCCATTGGCATCACCTGCCCCATCGTACCTGGCATCTTTCCCATACAGGTGAGATCCCCAGCCCTTGCCAGGAGGGCGAAGTGAGCAGCCAGGAGGGGTTCATGGCTGGATTTTTGAGCTAAATCTTGCCAGCTCCCAAGCACTCTCCACTAAAGCTCTAAGTCACTGGGAGATGAGGGTGCTGACTGTTGTCTGACTCTTGTCCCTGCAAAGCGAAAACATAGCAGAACAAAGTAATGGAAGGATGGTGGGAGCCACCTTTCCAGGAGGTCTTTATTAGGCATGTCAATAAGCATGCGTAGCACGATGCAATGGGTAAACTGGAGCCATTGGCTGAACAGTGCCAAGCCAATAACCGCATGTCTCTTCCCTGAAGAGTTTTACAGTCTAAAGACACCAGCCGGGATGCTACAGTACAGAACAGCGGCTGGGAGCTTTGCATTCTCTTTACGCTTCTGCCTTGCCTGTGGGGGTCTCGAGTGCTTTTCAGACATGAATTAACCCCCGCTCCCACCCCCCCAATTGCCTGCCCCCTTTGAAGGGGGTAAATACTTCCCCCTTTTTAAAGATTGGGGACAGGGGGAATGGAGTGTAGACAGGTTAAAGTGATTTGTCTGAGGTTGCACTAAAAGTCAGTGATAAAGATGGGAACAGAACCCAGGAGTCCTGATTCAAAGTCTACTGTTTTGACTACTATAAAAACTCTTTCCTGGTACAGATGTTACCTTGTCAACTGGCTGGGGAGCAGATCTGGTCTGAAAATTGAGAGACCTCGTTAGCAGCCTTGACCCTTTCCCTTGGGTATTACCCTTCCCTATTCCCCTTGTATCCCATGCCCAGGGTTACCATTCTCTGCGCCAGCTCGTGAAGCTCTCCAAACTCGAGGTGCCGCAGGAGATCAAAGAAGTGATCGAGCCCATCAAGGACAACGACGCAGCCATCCGGAACTACGGGGTGGAGTTGGCGGCGTCCATGTGCCGGGAGCTGCTGGACAGCGGCATGGTGTCCGGCCTGCATTTCTACACCCTCAACAGAGAAGTGGCCACCACTGAAATCCTCAAACGTCTGGGCATTTGGAAAGAGGATCCCAGGTGAGCAGAGAGCTACTCCTGGGGCATCTTCCTCCTGTCACAGCTGCACCTTCAAGAGATATGACCTGTAAAGGAAAGAAAAAGAGCTGGTGGCTTTCCACCCGCACACCGCCACCCTCTCCTTCTGTTTGTATCGATACATTAGATATTTCGGTCCGGCCTTCCCTGGAGTACTCTGTGGGTGACTGGAAAGCTGGGAGGATTGTGACCTCTAAGTACCAAGGGGGTGAGAGCTGCAGCAATTGAGGGGAAGGTGGTTTGTAGTTGGACTGGTTAAACCTATTGGCGGGGTTTGTTTTGTGGTGTATGTGTGGGTTTGTTGTGGCTTTGTTTGTTTGGGGTTTTTTGGGCAAATACTTAACGTAAATGCCTGACGAGCAGCCAGGAGACAAGAACTTTTCATCTTCCCCGCCTGTTGGTGTTAAGTGCTGAGTAAGGTCCTACTGTGATCTCCGGCAGCAGTAGAGAAAATGTTCAATAGTCAAGCAGGGGGCTGTCCAGCAAGGGTGGGAGACACAAACATTGGGGTCTTTTTTTCTTTAAAAATAGCCAACCTTTCAGGCCTGTCTAGCCCCCAGAAAAGGGCAGGTGCCCATCCTGTGTATTTCATCTTTAACAAACTGCCCAGCTGCCTGGGAGCATACGCGAGAGGGGGATAATGAATGCCTTGGCATGAGCCGCCATCTCCTGAATGGAGGAGAGGTGTCCGCTCTGGAGGGAAGTGCCTCTCTGGATGCAGCGACGACTCTCAATTCTGATTCAGCCCTTGCCGTTCAGCCTGCCCCAGAACCCTGCCTCTCTCGTAAAACGCATTTACTCACGGTGCTTTCAGTCCCGAAGCAGGGAATCGGTTACAGAGAAGCCATCCTAATAATCTCTATTTTCCCCCAAGGCGGCCTCTGCCCTGGGCAGTCAGCGCCCACCCCAAGAGAAGAGTCGAAGACGTCCGGCCTATTTTCTGGGCCTCCAGGCCAAAGAGCTACATTCACCGAACTCAGGAATGGGATGATTTCCCCAATGGTCGCTGGTGAGTCTCTGGCCTAGGCCAAAGGGGGCTGGAGCCGGTGGGGAGTGGAGCAGGAAGCCATTTGAGTAATGGGACCATCCGCTCCGACATCACTTGAAATGGAAGGCGTCTCTGTAGGACAGGCAGAGGCTGCTGGACTCGTTTCAAGACCCTTTTGGAGTCCCGTCACTGAGCCCATCTGGTGATACTTTGCTAGGAGAACCTCTGGTGGTGCCCAGTAGCTCAGAGCTGCATGAGGGGATGAGCTGCTGGGTGGGGTTGAGTGGGTGGCCCCAACGTGGTGGGGCGCAGATCTCTGGTGGATCGTATTTGCTGCTCTCCCCCCGCACCTTGGGGGGTGGCTTTTTCCCCACCCGCTGGAACAGTCAAGCAGGTCACGTTCCACCACAGGCAGCATGTACACCTAGTCTCTCTGGGCCATCCCGCAGGGGGAACTCTTCCTCGCCAGCCTTCGGCGAGCTGAAGGACTATTACCTCTTCTACCTGAAGAGCAAGTCGCCACGGGAGGAGCTCCTGAAGATGTGGGGGGAGGAGCTGACGAGTGAGGAGAGCGTCTTCGAGGTGTTCACCTTTTACATCTCCGGCGAGCCCAACGGGGAGGGGCACAAGGTGAGTGAAGGCCTGGGGCTGAGAACAGAGGGGGAGGCTCATTGGAGAGTGGGGCAGGGCAGCACCCAACAAGGACTGGCTCAGAGAGAGACAGTGGTGCTTATCTCAAAGGTGTCAAGCGCCCTGTGACATTCCTTTACACAGGGGGTCAGGGCAGTCCTCTGCCAAACCCACTCTGTGACCGCGGGGGAGGGGACTCTCAGCACGGGGGAGCTAGGAACAAGCCTGGATAAAGATGTCCTTGTGCTGTGAAAGGGCTAAGATCAGAGTAGTGGCGCACCTGGTAAGAAGGGACAACCCCCATGAGTTCAGCCTTGGGGACCGCAAGCTGGAAAGCCCCCCTGGTTTGAAAGGGGTCTCGGACAGGGTGCCCTAGACCAGGGATCCTCAATGTGGCACCTGCCAGGGCATTTTTGTGCGCCCACAGGACTCCCCACTGCGGAAATGTCGCCGAGAAGTGTTGCCGTTTCTCGGCAGCATTTCGGCGGTGGGGTGTCTGGCGCCTGCCCAGTAGGCTATTCCCACAAGAAAGGTTGGGGACCACTGTCCTAGACCATGTAGGGCTTTAAAGAAGCTGTCTGGGATTTTGACTTGCACCCAGAAGGGAGCTGTCAGCCTTGTACAAGGTAAGAGCACTTGTGGGATGTGCTCTCACGAGCTCATCTGCCCTGTGAGGTGGGCAGCCATGTCCGCACCCACTGGAGTCTTGTTTGAGGAGGCGTTGCCTGGTGCTGTGAGGTTATGGTAATGGATAGCCTCTTTCCTTCCTGCAGGTGACCTGCCTGCCCTGGAACGACGACCCTCTCGCTGCTGAAACCAACCTCTTGAAGGAGCAGCTGGACAAGGTGAACAGAAGAGGAATCCTGACCATCAACTCCCAGCCAAACATCAATGGCAGACCGTCCACTGACCCCATCGTGGGCTGGGGGCCCAGTGGGGGCTATGTCTTCCAGAAGGTACTAAACCATAGATGTGTACAGCTAGAAAGGACCCTTAGCATCTAGTCTGGTCTCTTATGCAGGAGATCAAAGAACGTTGTTCGATTTCTGCATTCAGCCCGGTATCAGCTGGTTGAGCTAGAAGTACCTGTGTAGAAAGAGATCCAGCCTAGATTTTTGAAGCTTCACATGATGACCCCATCTCTAGATAATTCATTCCAGCAGCTAATTACCCTCGCTGTTAAAATATGGGACTTGATTTCTAGTCTGAATTTGTCTAGCTTCAGCTTCCAGCCATTGGATCTTGTGACGCCTTTGCCTGCTAAGATTGAAGAGCCCTTTATCATCAGAAATCTTCTCCTCCTAGGCACTTCTAGACCATGGTCCAGTCACCTGTCAATCTCCTCTTGGATAGATAGATAAAGCCTCTCACTGGAAGGCAGGCTTTTGCCATCTGGGTAGTCCTACCCCATTGCCTGTGTCCCAAGGCTGCTGTACCAGCCTCTTCCATTCACCCTCTTTTCCAAAGCTACTTATTTCAGAGCTGGGGTTTGTTGGGTTAAGGACACATCTAGTTTAAATTCCCTGAGCTCCCTCCCAGACCTTTCTGCTCATTACTTTCCAAAAACCTGCACCACAGGAAGTGATAGCATCTGGCTATATGCCCAATAAGGGAATTTTCTGCCAGCTTGCTGTGACTCTGCCGTCTTGTGCAAGAGCAGGCAGGGAGATCTGGCAGGAGATTGGGACTGTACTTCTAGCTCTTCCACTGACTTGTTGTGTTGCCTTGGGCAAGCCAGTTAACCTACGAACCTCTATTTCCCCATCTGTAAAATAGGGACAGTGCCACTTAACGGCCTTTGAAGTGTTTCACATCTGGGGATGGAGAGTGCTACTTACGTTTTCCTGGGATGCCTCCCATCCACTCATGAATCAGGCCCCACTTTAAGTGCTGCCTGCAGGGGTATCCAGGAGGTGGCGCTCTTCCCTCTGAGCCAGTCCTGACCCAGTGCCTCACATGGTGGCGCAGGAAGTGCTGTCCTTTGGATGAAATAGAACACTGAGAAAGTCATGGGGATCTTTAATGACCTTAAACCCAGTGTCCTGGTCAGCTTCCAGCGTGTGTCTTGGTATTCTGCTTCTCTGAACTCTCCCTGCAGTTTCACTCAGAGGGATGCCTCACTCTTACATAGCATATCTCATCAGATCTCAAGGCGCTTTACAAAGGCTGATTATCCCCTGTTTACAGATGGGGAAACTGAGGCACGGAGAGGGGAAATAGCTTGCCCAAGATTACCCAGCTGACTAGTGACAGAGCCAGGAAGAAAACCCAGGTCTCTGGCTTTCCAGATCAGCGCTCTGTCCCCTGACCTGGGGCGGGCAAACTTTTTGGTCTGAAGGCTGCATCGGGTTTCTGAAATTGTATGGAGGGCTGGTTAGGGGAGGCTGTACCTCCCCAAACAGCAAGGCATGGCCTGGCCCCCGCCCCTATCTGATCCCCCTACTTCTTGCCCCCTGATCGCCCTCCCAGGACTCCTGCCCCATCCAACCCCCCCTGCTCTCGGTCCCCTGACCGGCCCCGGACCCTCCACTCCTGACTGCCCCCCCGGGACCCCTAACCCATCCACCACCCCATCCAATCCCTCCTCTCCTTCCTGACTGCCTCTGTAGGACTCCTGCCCCCATTCAACCCCTGTTCCCCACCCTCTGACGACCCTGACCCCTATCCACGCCCCTGCCCACCCCCTGAACTCCCCTGCCCTCTATCCAACCCCCCCTGCTCCCTGCCCCCTTACCGCGCTACCTGGAGCACCGGTGTCTGGCAGGACGGCTGCACCAAGACGGGCAGCCGCACCGCGCAGCAGAGCACTGGGTCAAGCCGGGCTCTGCAGCCCCGCCGTCCAGAGCATTGTGCCGCATGGCTGCAGGGGAAGGGGGACAGCAGGGGAAGGTCCAGGGACGAGCCTCCCTGGCCAGGAGCTCAGGGGCCGGGCAGGATGGTCCTGTGGGCCGGATCATTATTATGATTATTGTGGGGTCCCCCATAATCAAGGTAAACAGTGGGAGCAGAGCACATGGTGGGGAACAATACAAGCTAATTCAAAGGGATTTGGATTGTTAAAGCCGCTGGGCCAGCAGATGGCAAATACAGTTGAGTGGAGAAAGATTCCCCAGGAGCAAGGAAATCAATCATCCAACACAATGGCCAGGAAACCGAGCTAGTGCTGTTAGGAGGGAGGCAGTTGCTGAATCCAGCCCAGAGCAGCAGCCAACGGGGAAAACGAGGAATTAGGCTATGTTAGGCACACACAGAGGACACCAGACAAAAGAGGTGCTGCTGTGAACAGGCCCCCATTAGAGCCCAGCTGGGATAACCCTCTGCGGCTTCGCTCACCGGACCACGGGGGTGAAATTGCCAACTAGGGCGCAGCACAGAACAAAGATATCAAGCCTGAGTCTTGTAGAAACAGCAGGCACCTGCTGCTTTATGGGCGCCTGGAATGACAGGTGCGGAGGCTGTGCCTTAGCTACCTGGGTGCATCCCCTACTGCAGAGCCTACAGGGAGACTTGATTTTGCACCCCTTCGCTCTGAAGAACCAAAGCTAGGAGGATGGGTAAGAGGCTGCCTGCAAAGGATTATTAATACATTGGGCTTGTGCCCTGTGGTACCTCCGTGTGCTGGGCACTTTGTTTCTTTGGCCATTCCCAGCTCTACCACGGACTTACCTCCATTTCCCCATCTAGAAAATGGGGATAGTATGGGCCTGTCTCGAGGGGTGGGATAGATGGATTCTTCTTAGTACCTCCCCCATTTTAGCTACTGGGGCTTCAGAAAACTGGATGAATCCTCAACAGCTGGGTTTCCCCACTGGTTCCTCCCTTCCCTGCACTGCACTGAGTTTTGGCTTCTGTTTCCTCCCGCCCACGCAGGCATACCTGGAATTCTTCACCTCCAGCGAGAACATCACCGCCCTGCTTAAAGTGCTGAAGATGAAGAAGTACGAGCTCCGAGTGAATTACCACATTGTCAACGTCCGGGTAAGAGTGTGCTTAGCCGACACTTCCCTCCTGCCACGTCATAGAGACGCAGGCGGCCTAAATCCTAAGGAGAGAGGGGGAGTCTGCCAGCAGGGCAGGAAGATGGGAGTTGGTAATGGGACAGGGCGAAGCAGCACTAGCTATTCCCTGCAGCTCCTTCCTGAGCCGTTGGCTTTTCACCGTTTGGTTGATGGAGGGTAGTTTAATTTCAGGGAAGTAGTGCCTATAAAAGCACCTTTGCACCAGGTCCACTGCATCCACTTCCCGCTCAGGACCATCTTGCTCTAGAAGGCGCTTCCAATGTCCCGTCCTCCTCCTGGCAGGGTGAAAACATCACCAATGCTCCTGATCTGCAGCCCAACGCCGTGACCTGGGGCATCTTCCCAGGCAGAGAGATCATTCAGCCAACGGTTGTGGATCCAGTTAGCTTCATGTACTGGAAGGTAAGAGCACCACGCCAGCTGACATTGAACTTATCCCCACCCGGTGGTTAGAGAGAGGTTGGGTTTAGTGGTTTTTGTCTCTTCTTTATCAAGACCCACTGGACAGTCACAGGACCACATTAGTGCCTAGATGGAGTCCATCCTGAGCTCTTTAGTCCTTATGCAGTGGAAGCTTTGCCTGAGTGAGGACTGCAAGATTTTCCCCCTCCTCCCCCATTATGTATTTGTCGTCTATATGAAGTGGGCGACGTGAGTGCCAGCCCCCATATTTCTGGGCCAGTTCCCACAGCAGTTGAGGCTGAGGCAGTATTGAGCAGCACTGGTGAAAGAATATGCACGCACATGGTTTCTAGAAAGCAGGAGGATGCATTGATTTACTGCCCAGCTCCTCAGCTGTGGGGTGGGGCAGATGCGAAGCCATACGCACTCTCTTCCCCTCCCAAGACTAGCTGCCCTAGATGACATTGTAGGAGTCGCAGCTACCGTAACGAATGTGCTTGGGGTGACCGTACCATGCTCTCTGCCTTTGTCCTGGCAGGATGAGGCCTTCGCTTTGTGGATTGAGCAGTGGGCTAAGCTGTATGAAGAGGAGTCTCCCTCTCGCATGATTATCCAGTACATCCACGACAACTACTACTTGGTCAACCTGGTGGACAACGAGTTCCCGCTGGAGAACTGCCTGTGGCAGGTCATGGAGGACACTTTCGAGCTCTTGAACTGTCCCACGGAGCAGTGAGTCACAGCCGCTCACTCCGTCCATCCACCCACTCACTGCAGACAGCACAACTGCCGGGGGCAAGAGGAGCCCGGCTCGGCATGACATGGATCCAGACACTCCATCAGGGGCTTCCCAACACCCCTCTCTGTTACAAACAAAACATGTCCCACTGTCTGTTCTCATATGCTAATGGCAGCTAGAACCACCTGAACCTCCCAGCAGAGCTGTAGGCTGCATTCTAAGAAACGATCGAGCTGCTTTTTCAGTGTCCTCTTCAGGGTTTGTTTCAATGTGATCGTAGTGGAGACTCACCCACTCACTGCAGCAGAGACAGCGTGCTGGGGAAGTTGGACACTACATGGTCTAAAAGACTTGGTCAAGTTTTCTCCCAAACCCCCCCCCCCTTTTGTTTTTTAAAGGAACGGGAATAAGGGAATTCTCCAGGTCAGTTTAATCTTTAGTTTGGTGATTAGGAATTAATTAATAAATAGCAGACACTAGGCATGCCTCATTTCTGGATCAATAAGATGGGGTGCACACTCTCTGCACTGGATTTGTATTTTAGCTCAGTTCAGCTCTACCACAGCTGAAGGTGGTTTTTAGAGTCATGCCAACATCCTCTCCATGCTCAAGGATGACAGTGAGATTGCTTATAGGGAGCAGTGTTTACCGTGAAGGGTGGGGCTAGCCAGGCCAAGCTGGTAGGAGTTTGTAGCACTGGGGCTAGTGTGTTTCATGCACCAGCTGCTGAGGGCCCTGGATTTTACAGCCCATCGTCTCCACAGGTGCAGATGGGGGTGTGCGCACAACCTACCACGGGGGCTGGGCTACAGAGCTGGTTGAGCCTGCTACAGTCTGGCCAACAGAGCTGGGGATTTCACCCTCCAACAGTGGATACTCATGCTTTATAGTAATTCAAGGGAAACCTTAAAAGTGTCACAACATGATGCACGGTTGGTGTGTGAGCTTTTTCCTTTTCCCGACAGCTCAGGCCAGGATGAACTATTCCTAATCCCTACACTGTAGAGGTACCTGGGTAAACACTCTAAGTCTCACAGAGTTAAAACATGGTTCACTTTTGCAACACTGCTGGGACTGTACCATCTATTGTACCATTCTGTACCAGTCTGATCATGTTCCTCAATTGTGCAGTGTTGTCTTCTGTGCTGCAAGATCAGGCCAAACCATGTTGTAACTGTCTCTCCAAGCTGGAGTGGGAGTCCAGCCTGGCAGAGTCAGTCTGATGTGCTGCATGCACATCCTTGAACACAGCTGCTGCTGGCAGGGGGGCCAGCCGTGGGTCCCTGAGCACCACAAGCAGGGACTTTGTCTCAAACTGCTGTACACTTGCAGCTAGGGGGAGGCTTGAGCACAGCACTAGCTCAAAAAATAAACAGCCCTCAGGCAGCATCAGTTGTATTTAAACTTAGCAGCTCATGCGGTCAAGGATTCAGTCCCCCCAGGGCCTAGCTGGGCAGTGGGAAAGGCCCATTCTGCACAAGTGCCTGTCCCCAGCATTACTACTAAGGGGGGGGGTGCATGAAGCTAAATGAGACTTTTGGCCAAACCTCAAACCACGCTGCAGAGTTGATGTGTCATGTCTCCTATGCCACAGTGCATTGGGGGTGTGGGGGAGGAGAAAGATGCCTTCACCAGAACACGGCACTGACAGTTCAAGGCCCCATCACGCAGGGGGATGTGTCTGAAACAAGCACCTAAGGGAGCAGCAAGAGTCAGTTGCCTGCTTCAGCGACACCAAATGTTGGACAAACCAGGGTTGCAAAGCTTGGGCCGATGACCTACTGCCATCAAAGACAAGCAAGCTCAGGGCAGCTTCTGGAGGGATTTCAAAATCCCTGCCCAGCTGGGTGAATGCTTTTTGCTGTGAGCACTGGGCAGAAGCAGTTTCTGTATCCTTCTGTCCCTTTAATTTTAGCCTCGTGGGGAATGGCTGATGCCCTGTAATCACCCTCAATAGATCAATCACTGCAGAATCTAATGAGGGGCAGGGGATGGGGGCAGCAATGATTGGGGGCAGACATGCCCACCTGGCCTCAGCAAAGCTTTTTGATGCTCAGCTGTTCCCAGCAGGTTTCTTCATCACAGACCCATTCAGCAGAAAAAGGACCCTGCGGGAGGCAGAGGGTCAGAGGTTGGCCACCCACCGAAGGGCTTAATGAGGAGCGGATGGATGGGAACACATGCAGGAGCTGAGGGCTGCACAAGAATCCCCAGTGGGAAGAGGCAGATCTAAAAATAAACCCCTCTTCAAGCCAGCCTGGGCTGCCCCTAGCCAAGTATGTGACGCTAAGCGGAAGTGGGGGCTGGATGAGTTGGAAGGCTCATACCCACAAGCAGAAAGGGAACTCCTGGGCAGGAGCAGAGTTTGATTTCTCCCCCCCCAGATCAGAGAACTGGATCCTGGCGTAGCGTTGGCCAGGGTGGAGCCATTTGTGATACAGGGTCACAGTTGAACCCCTGATTCAAAGGAAAGAGTGCGTGGCAGACCGACCTTTAATCAGAACTCATGTTCAGCACAGCCGGCAGCCTGCAACAGACAAGCTGCGTGCCCCCAGCAGGCCATTGGTCCTGCCCTGCACCAACACAGGCAAGGCCAGTGGGCGAGGAGAGTGCCCAGCTAACTCAAGTGAATACACCCCCGCCGCAGGCCAGGGAGGAGACAGGGTATCCTGTGCTTTGAAATTGAGCCCGGGGCTGGATACACTCTGTTCCGAGGAGTTCCTGGGCTCTTGCCTAGCAGGCCGATGCGGCACTAGCAGAGCAGGGACTGGCTCTGCCAGAAGCTGGTACCCACGGCAGCTGCCCGGCGGGGACAGTTCTGAGAAAGCACCATTGGCCAGCATTCTTGATAAGTGTTCAAAGGAGACACATACACACACACTACCCACCCACCGCCCCTTCAATACCCAGCCATATTCTCAGCTGGGCCAACGAGGTAAGCTCTGGCCAGTCCCTCCAGAAGCTCAGCAGAGTCCTCTGCCCTCCAGACGGGACACCGTCAGCTGGTGCCACCTTCCAAAGGCCTGAAATGGAAAAAGGGAGAAGTCAGACCCAGGTCAGAGCTGGGTAGCCCCCAGCATTCTGCACTGCAGCCCCAGCCACCTTCATCTTGATGACGACAGAGGGGGACTAGAGTTCCTGGTTTATAGTGCTCCACCTGGATGCCCTGGGTGAGACTGCATGGCCTAGTGGGGGCACGCCACCTCTACACACTGCGTTAGGCTTGGGCCTCGGACTTCTAACAACGGGCTCGGCGTGGCCTGGGCTCATGCAGCAGGATGTGACTGGGATCCCCTTCTTTTACGATAGGGCCAAAGAGCATTTGTCTGGATGCCTCCCTGCCACCCCTAGCCCTGGGGCTTGGCTCAGAGACCTGCCCCTCCGTAGCACTCAGGAAGACTGGCTAGAGCACAGAATCTGCTCCCAAGGCAGAACGATCAAGTCACACCAGCAGAGCCAGCCAATCTGCTGCTCACAGGTCAGTGTTAGACACAGCCTGTTTGTACATGACCCTGACATTCCTCCACTTTCCCTGCAATACAGCGAGAAGGGGCCTGCAGTGAGATTTCCACAAACAGTTAATCCTGCAGCTTACTCTCCTTCCTGCACCCAGCTGACTGCAGGAGTGGTCCAGGGGGAAAGAACTTCCCCCGGCCCAGGCAAGCACCATGGGCTCTGGGCTGGGTCAGCAGCATCTCCCAACCAGCTTTACTTGCCCTGCCAGTTAGAACAGCATAAAACTGAGTCAGCGTAGTTTGGAAACAGCCTCCTAGTAACAGAGAGCACAGGGCACCTGCCAACACCTCCCTAGACAACAGCAACCCCTCAGCCAGATTGAATAGCAGAGTCTCGGATTACTAAGGCTTCATTAACCCTGTGCACCAACAGGCCTTAATCTGCTTTCCTCTTTTCCAATAAGGAACACCCAGAATGGAAATACCCAAAAATCGCCATTCCCTTCAGTGCCCTCTCTGCTCCCTCCTCTTCCTTGCCATTCTGCCCACCTTCTACCAAGCCTTTTTAGGCTATAAGCTCTTTGGGGCAGGAGGTGTCTCTCACTAGGCATTTGTGATGTGCCCAGCACGATGGGGCACAAACTTGGTTGGGGCCTCTAGGTGCTCCCATAATACAAAAAATTTGTAGTCCACAGAACCGAAGCTTCAGCTACTAACTGGGAGATCAAGCGGACTAGCAGTAAGCTCCTACCCTGGCAAGCAGGCTCCGGTCTTCACCCTCCAGGAAACTCTGGGCCACCCGGCTTTGCAGGTAGCGCCTCCTCCAGATCCTCCAGCCCCATTCCAGCAGCCTCTGCCCAACCTGCGAGGAGAAAAGGCAGCACACAGAGGTTAGCTCCCTCTGCCCAGCACCGTCTGCCTCCTCGGCTTCCAGGTCCCTGCCCCTTCCAGCCCCGTTCTGTGCAACCCCTTCTCTGCTTCACACAATAACTGCCTTTGGCCAAATCTCTCTAGGTCCTCCAGAAGGCCCCCCCCATGACCTGGAAATGCTGCTGCAGAGCAGCTGAGCCACCTCCTCCTAAAAAGCTGGCCAGCCTCCCCTCATCACTCACACCACATCCCTTCTACTGAGCTCACAACTAAGCTGAACGCTAACCAGACTCCTGTGGAAAACTGCTCAGTCACTTGGTTTGGGCCATGCATCTCGTTCCCCCTCCTCAGCCAGCTTTCAGGCTGTTTAGACTGCAAGCTCTCTGGGGCAGGGGTCCCTCTTCTTACCCACTGGCAAAGCAGCCTGCCCACCAGCAGCATTCTACGAGCAGTCAGCCAGGGGCCAGAGGCCAGCTGAAGGAGCACACCTGTTGCTGGGACCCTCAGGTGGGGCTCAGAACAGGTCCCAAATAGTCACTTGTCCAAGGAGGAGGAGGAGGACAGAATATGGGGATTGCGGAGGTAAAGGGAGGAGGGAAGACACTGAGTAAGGAGGAGTGTGGGTTAGTAGTTTGTCAGCGGCACAAGGCAGGACTCCTGGGTTCTCACGCCACCCCTGCCAGGAATTTGCTGTGTGACCTTAGGTGCAAGCCACTTAATCCTCCCTGGGCCTCAGCTTCCCCAGCTGTGACGCGGGGATGGGGACTATCCACTCACCTCCCGGGAGGGTGGGGCTTTGAGAGGACAGACCCTGCAGGAGCATTCCCCTCGTGGATGGGCCCAGATATTCACTCACCAGCGCCCGCACGATCAGTGCCGTCCCGCTGGTGTCCTTCCACCGCAGCCACCCGCTCTCCAGCGAGCGCATCCTCCTGCGGGCCCGGAACTGGCGGAGCAGCACGTTGCATTGCCATCGTCTCAGGTACTTCGTCCTGGAGGCAGAGAAGGAAAAGGAACGTGCTCGTACTGATGGCTGCACTCACCCCAGCTGATGTTCTCCCTCGGCACAGACACAGCCGGCCTGACTGCTTCCCGGAGGGCCTGACACCGCTCCAAGGCCAGGATCGAGTGACGCCGGCAGTTCTTACCTCTAACCCACACTCAGCTCCTTACATCTAGTGACTGGAGACTTGTGGCCAGAAAGGGTGCAGTGGGAGGAGGGGGGACAAACTGGGACTCACTGCCCCCTCCTCTAACAATGACACAAGGCTCATCCCTGCTTATCTGGTTAGCACATTTAATGCAGATAGGGGGGTTCAGTTAACAACGCTGCAGGGTTAAGGCCTCTATTTATCCACTTGATAGGTACGAGTTTCCCCCATGCTGCCCTGCCAATGTGCCTCAACGCTGACCTTGTATCAGGCCTGGACTGACACCCCCATCTTACTCTGCATGTTCCACAGCTTTCGGTCACTGCCCACCTGCTCCAGATTCGAACCAGTGACCATCACCAGTCCACTGCCCCCGTCCCCTTCCCTGCTTCGGAGCCCCCAGAGCACAATAAATTGTTCATGGCAATTCCTCATGCTGACTGCCCCCCAGCAGAAGTATGGAAGCTAGGCACACGCACATAAATACGACCTAAGAAATGCTCCTTCCATTTAAACAGCCAGGCCCTATGGTCAGGGCCCCCATTGGGAAGGAAGAAGAAGAACGGGGATTTCAAGGTCTTGCTCGGTCAGATACGTCCATCTTCACGACCCAACACTGACTGAAGGAAACAACCTGAAGGTGACAACACAG